TCTCTTTGTTTAATGTGTCAGATGTTTTGGATTGGTCCCCAACTTCAGTGCCAACCGCATGAACCAGCCAAGGTGAACAGGTAGAGTGGGAGACAGAGTCCTTGGAGAAAGCACAGCTGTCAGAAATCCGACGCCAAGTACATACTGCAGTGATGCCAGACACTCGGTGTGCCTCACATTTTGTTGGATCTCTGGCTGAGCTGAGGGCCAGTGTTTGTAGGTATCTGTTTCCAAGCTCCCCGGCTCTGGCCACCTGACCCGGCTTGAAAGCCATGCGTGCATGTGCATTTGCGTCAAGCTGTGACAACACTGAGAGACAGACAATTTGAAGATTAATAGGTGCTTATAAAAAGACAAAAGAAGGGAGAGGGTTAAAGACAGAAAGGAAGGAGGATTCAGGTACGAGTCTGGACGTGAGAGTCGGTGTCCCTGTCACCTGGTTGGAATGCACAGCTCTTCATTCAAATGGCTGTGTGATAAGATCAGGAGCAGACACAAAGGATATCCTGCATGCCATCAACGCTTTACCAGACACACAGACCTCACCTAGCCATTGGCTTACAAAAAAAGGACACATTTCCATTTTTCCATAGATGTTGAACTAATGTTCTCATAAATGTTATTGAATGTTATTACTTTGAATTTGTTTGGGTTTAGTAAGACAAATTTGTAGTCAAATATGTATAATTTTATCAACATGGCAAACAAGAGATGTCTTGGTTTTTTTTTTTAGAATCAAATATCCAAAATGTTTGTTGACATTTTGTTGTCCTGAAGTGGAGCTGGCGCAAAGTGGCAGCTCAGCAGTGTAATTCTATACAAGCTGGAAGCTGCGTCCCCATTCAGCCAGGCTCTAAATCTGTGCATTAGCATGTAAGTCGGTCAGCTGGTCAGACAGTGGTGGGTCTTTCCTGCTGCAGTGGGGAGTAGGCAGGCAGGATATGGGAACGTGGCAGACCCCCCTAACAGCCAGGAAATCCATGGAATTCTGTGGGTCAAACTGGGGTCGACTGGAGAAGCCCCACAGTGCGAGACGGAGATAAAAACAGAGGTGGAGTGACACTAAAACGGTGCTGGAAATCTAAACAGATGGACTTGTGTAAAGAGATACAGTAGCAAGTGTTTAAAGTGGTCATATGATTATTTTAACAACATTTGATAAAAACAGTTTTTTGATATATTTAGAGATTAAAGTCTGTCAATACCAACAATATGCCGTATTGGAGACACACACTTCCTGGCAGCTTCAGACTATTGATGCAAGTTTACATCAAGATGGAGGAAATGGTTTTATTTATAGAATGTTCTTGATCGTTATCTTTAGTTTGGTTCTAAAAATATCCAGTGATATTTTGAAGCCTTAATGAATATGGAGCTGTTCCGCAGAGGAGGACAAATGTCACATTGAAAGTGTTTCTGTCTGAACTTAACAAGCCTTATCAAGATCTCTGATCTATCAGTTTCATTACATTTAAATTTTGAGTGTGAACTACTTCTTTCAGGAAAGCAAGCTCATTCGAAAAAAAAAAAAAAACCCATGTTATTTCTATGACTTATATTTATTATGGCTATCAATTATCATCATCCAAAAAAGAAAAGTACATAATTGAAGTCATTTATCAAGCAAAGACGTCACACTTTCAGTTTCTATTTTCTGAAATGTGAGGGTTGCTGCCATGTGTTTTACACCATTGGAAATTAATATCTTTGGGTTCTGGTCTGATAGACAGTTTGAAGACATCAGCTTGGACCCATCGCAATTTACCAGAGGTGGGACATTTGGTTTGTTGCAGTCCTAAATTGTATACATAATTTATTTGTTTCTAAGCTCTTGTTGCTCTTTCAGCAGCTACTAATAAACTAATCCAAAAAAATGGAAGAATGTTTTTTTTTAGAATAGGTTTTTAACAGCAAACATGAAAGTACATAAGGAAGCTGAGTTTGAAATAGTTTGAAATAGCTTGAAAGGTAATCACCAGGGCAGCAAAGACCATTTCAAGCTTTTGTACTTTAAATTTGATTAGTTCAGTTTGTGATGTTTATAATTCAATTTTGTAAGCAGTTTAAAACATGTATCATGGGACCCACTGCTTTGACAAATTGTGATTTAGCTTTTAATATTAAAGTACAAAATTTTGGGACTGAACCAGGATAAAGTTTAAAGTACTTTTGTACTCTGGCAGTGTAATGAAGGCCCTTGTACTTGTAGGTAAGTATCTTAGCATTATACTGTACCAATTTGTACTTCACTAAGATGAGTTTTCACGTGTCTTTAATATCTGACTGATTGCTTTTCAAGCAGGTAACCTGTTATTAGCCAGGATTAGGTACTGAGATCCCTACCAAATGTAGCTCTTCAATTTCTAAGAGATTCAGATTCCTTTCCATAATAAGGTCACAAATAATATATTTTGACTCAAGATCTTATGTAGCTCTTTAGATATGTAGATCTTTACTGTTAAACGTGCTACAGCAGTTTAAGTGGGTGTGTGTGTGTGTGTGTGTGTGTGTGTGTGTGTGTGTGTGTGTGTGGAGAGTAATGTCTGTGTGTGACAAATGCATGAATGCATGTGTGTGGTTGCAGACTGGTGATTTAAGGGGTGTTGCAATGATTTGCTCCTGGTACAGTCTGAAGCTTGATTGGGACTTGGCTCTCTGGTAAAGAGTGTGTGAATGAGATTATAGGTCTCTGCTGTCCTGTTCTTTCATTCACAAATAAGCTGCCTCCAAAAATGCATTCATCATGAACTACACTGTGACAAGATAGATAAACTCCTACAGGCAGGCTCGTGCCGTATTTGAATGTTTTCCACTGGGCCGGAAATGTGTCTGGTCTGAAAGAAAGGAACAAACCCTTTTTTTTAATTAAATGAATGGTGCTTTGTTTATGATTCAGATCTGCAGGGCTGTGACAGATGACATAAAAGAAATGTGTACAGGCTTAACTCCATAGTTCTGCAACAAGGACTTTCTTTGTGAAGCTTATTATGGACAGTGTTTGTCGATACTGTCAAAAAGACGTTGATTTTTAGGCCACAGTTTGTTGTGCTGTTGCTTTTCATGGAGCGCAAAATTTCCATCTGACTCTTTCTCTTTTTAAGCGAGAATGAGAACAGTCTACTTACAATACTTACGTTTCACTAAATATTTCTGTGAGCAAACCTTAAAATGCCTCAAACGTGTCCAGGTCTGTGTGTACGTCCCACTGTTCATGCCTTTTTACTCGTGGACTGTGTAAATATCCCCAGAAGAAAGAGTTGAAAGGAAAGAACACACGCCTCTTTTTCTTTGTTTAACTTGAAGCGGGCCATGTCTCCTTATTGCCTGACATGAACAAACACATGCAAAATGTTCAGGTTTCTTCAGCAGGGGAGGAAGAGAGGATTATCTCGAGAGCCTGTTGTTGAAGTGACCTGCCACGCTGCCAGGCGCAATAGAGGTCAGTGGGGCTGTGTTCGAGGGGCTTCGTGCCTTATGGACGGTGTCTAATTAGCGGGATTGGTTGAGGTTGCCGGTGGTCCTGGTGTGACCGTGGCTTCCTGCTGGGCTTTTTTCTGAACATCACCAGGCTGATGCAGTGACCCCACTCCTCTCTCCTGAAATTAACCCATTGTCCTCTTGTCGCTCCATCCGATCGGCCTCTAAAATGAGACCGTCCGGCCTTGTGGCATTGAGCTCAGTCAGAATGCATATTCGTTCTTATTCCTTTTGTATGCAACCTTTAATACAACAATTAGCTGTTAGATTAATTTGATTTAAGTAATTTTCTCACAGCGAACAGACTCAACATTTGCCAGTTCTAGCAAGCCTAGCCTGCACTCAAGTGTTGCTATTTATTGCCTGTCTTATTTGGAAAACAGCCAGTAGATCTATTCCTGGAGAGAGAAGATTTTTTTGACAGTCAGAGTGATAATGAAACCACATTTATCCCAATAAAGAATATTCCTCTGCATGGTTACACAATCTTTTCTTTGATTTCTCCAAGGAGGGCCGCAATCCCATAGTGAGATGAGATGATGCACTGGTTGTTGCGCAACGGCCTTTCATGTTCCTGGTGGTGAGTCATCGAGAAGTTGACTGCCATAGTTTACAACTAGTATTCACCGGCACTTAGTCCTCATAGACTGATGAAACAAAACAACCCAACATAAGAAATGAGGATGAGGTTCAGGAGTGGTCAAGGTCCACATCAGAGCATTACAGATGGTCACAACATGAGAATGTTACCCCGTATTGTCATGTAGTAATAAACTCCTGGTGTGTTGTTGTTACTCATCCCTTTTGAATTCTCTTTGTTTTGTTAAATTGACTTTGGATGTTACGTGGACTTAACTAAAGCCTGTTTTTGTCTTGTTAACTGTTAACCTTAGACATTGTTGGAGAGGGAAATGTCTTAAGGATGATGTTGAACCTGAGGCTTCTGCAAGTTTAGGACACAGAAATGCAAGCTTGAACAGATGGCAGTGATTCATTTAGAAATACCTGCTTTTATAAGCAGATGTAAAATAAGAGAAAGTCACACAGAGTCGCAGTGTAAAAATTGCTCGCTATTTTTTTAATTCGACATCATCAGACTGACTAAATGTTAGTTTTAGACCTTAAGAACTTCAGTTTTGATATACACCGCAAGATTGTTTTGTGGTTCCAAAAGTAAAAAAGAAGTTACCCAACATGGAGAAAGCATAAGAGGCCCATTTTCCCTATATGGAGTAGTCAGCCAAGAGGCCCCGCATTCCCCTCAGAAAGCAGTATTGGTGAGTGTTGACATGAGGCCTGCATGATATCATTTTTCGCAGCTCCCACATAATCATCTGTTTCATGCAGGATTACTTTCTATCTCTCAACGTCTCCAAACACTCCTTCAGCTTTAACACTTCGAATGACAACTAACCTCACCGTACTGGTCCAGTGTTTGCTGGTGTTTGAAAATATTTTGGCAATGGCGTCTGTTGTGTGTTTGTGCACAGAAAACTAATTGTGATGCTTCTTTCTTATTGCAGCAGGCCTATGTGTCCTCCGGCCACCAGATGGCGCCCCCCAGTCCCAACACCAACAGTAGCAGCAACAGCAGCGGCGTGGGAGGGGAACAGCTGAGTAAGACGAACCTGTATATCCGCGGCCTCCATCCGGGGACCACAGACCAAGACCTGGTCAAGCTCTGCCAACCGTGAGTGATTTATTATTAGAAATTGTGATTTCTTGTTGGAAGCAGAACAGCGAGGTGAAATTGGAAAGGATATAACATCACACCAGACATGTTTATTATGATTATTGAGCCCCAAGAATTACATGAGTCCATTTATAAAGGAATAGTTGGGAAATACTCTTATTTGCTTTCTTAGCAGAGTGTTAAACATGTCTCTAATGTATGTAAAAGTCATTTGTTGAACGTTAGCGTTATTAATGACACTGATGGCTATGTGGACTGCAGTCAGCATCCTGTTGCTTGCGCTCTCACACAGGCTCGCACTGCATGCTTTACAATCAATTCACACGTTGGCAGTACAAAGCGATTAATACATGTAAATTACTTCACATAGTACTTTTTAATATTTAATACTATCTATCTGGCCATAGGGAATGGAAATCAGAGCATTCTGGGGCGGAGCTGCCATTTTGGTATGATAGCTATGGTAGCTATTATCTGTCACTGTCAATGGCTCATCATCAGAAATATATAAAGGGTGCACAAAAGATATATTTTGGTTACTGGCAGGTGCTAATTTTGTGCTCTTACTGTGAGCAAAGGTAAACGCAACATGCATTATCCCCCAAGTTAGGAGCTTACCAAGCAATGAAAAGTAATAAGGAGTTCGGTCTAGACCTGCTCTATTTGAAATGTGTCCTGAGATAACTTTTGTTATGAATTGGCGCTATACAAATAAAACTGAATTGAAATTGAATTAATCCCATTATCTTGTCTTGTAATCTTGTTCATTGGTTGTGCGGTTGACACTGCACAACAGTGTTTGCAGACCACATTGAAATTGACGTCACATTCCCATTCGCTAGCTCGTAGAACATTCCAGTCCAGCTTAACTGGAACAGGTTTTCTTCAGATAGTTATCAGTAACGCTACAGTGGACAGTCGTCTGATGAGTAGATAACATCTGTGCTGTCTGTAGCAACGCTCTTCATCTGTTGGACACATGAAATTAAATAGTTTTAGGCCATAATTTGCAGTTCAGGCAGAGATGAAGGAAATGTGGTTTGTAAATAAGGATGCTAAATTACCACAACTAAAGGCAGTTTGATGAATTTTTGACAATTACAGGAAGCAAGAAATTGTCAGCAAAATGGTAGAGCCTTAGAGGGAAACACACGAAAGAAAGAACAAATGCACAGAGTCTGGAAACGGATAGGACGGGGGTAAAGAAGGAGAGAGGGGGCCAGAACAGGGTACAGCATGTTGCCTCCTCATGTCCTTATCTAACCTTCCATTTTTGTGAGGTTGAATTGGCTCAACAGCCCTGAACTAAGACTTACACACCCGGAGACAAATAGTCAAGCCTCTATAATATGTTGGCTTTACAAACACACACGCACACGCACACACAGAGAGATAAAACCCTGTAATAAAGCACCCAAACTGGTTTTGGCTGCTGCAGATCAGGGCCGTGCTGTATGTCACAGATGTGATTTGTGAACTTGAGCCATGTGTCCGTCATTTCCACGGGTCATTCACAGTAACAACGCACATCCCTGAACAAGCACCGGCTATAACTAATAAAACCTGACTCGATAATACTAACACCGCTGCCCCTCCCTCAATAATATTTTTGTTTCATTCTTTGTTTTACTCCATTCTGACCCTTCACAAGGAAGCCTCAGAAACACCAAATCAAAGGAACAAATTTATGTTATTATTCATGTTAATATTTGTGTACTGCACACATTTATGGAAAAGAAAGAAAATCTGAAATCTGCAGTTGGTATGTGAAACAAAGGGAGTCGAGAGTAAAAGCAGGGGATCAACAGAGAAGTCATTGTGGGCTGGTAGAGAAGTGGGGAGAGGACAGAGGCTTTAGGGGCTGGGTGGGAGGGCTACACTTGAAGGGGAAACTTAAATGAGAGGGAAAAGAGTAGCATGGCCTGCTGGGAAAGAATGTCAGACGGCCGTATATGGGTCAGAGCTGTCTTTTAAGTCCCTGTGGCCTCCACGGTGTGGTGGACTGCTGTTCTGCTGCAGAGGGGCTGAGGTAATCGGAGGGTCACACAGTCACTGCCTTCAGACCTTTGAACTCTCCTGGCATCTCTGTTTGGTAAAAACATGAAACACAGCTTTTGTTTTTCTTTGTCATGCTTCTAACGAAAACTCAAACTGTTCAGTAGGACTGTTTTTCAGTCTAGGCCTATGAGCCTTAAAATCAGGAAAATCAGAGCCAGCGTGGAACTCATGAGTGACTGTTATTGTTATTAACACAAGATATTATAAATTCATATAAGCCAGGTCCAGAACAATACTACTACTAAGTAGTCTTAGTAGTAGTCTAAGTTTTTGAGACAAAGTTGGCAAACTTAAACACATCAGAATGTATTTACGATTCCAATTTTGTACGATTGTCTGTACACCAGAATATTCCAGTACATCTGCACTGCACATACTTAAATCACCAGTGCAAAATACAATAGGACTCGCTCTCCACTTCCACCAAATCACACAGCTCACACAATCAGTCTTTCTCCTAAATATTTTTTAATCTGCCAAGCCTCATGGTGAGAGGAAGAATACCAGGATCTCATGTGTGATGTTTGGTTTCTAGATAAGTGAGACCTAATGTACGACTGCGGGGCAACCACTGTACTCATATTTCCAATATTTGACTATTAGAAAAAGAAAGTGTGTCTGAGTGCTGCGTGAGTGCGTACTTTACAACATCTTCCAAATCAAGTGCATTTTTAGGCTTGATGTTGTGAAAAGACATTGTTTCTGTAAATATTGTTTAAGTAAACTTTCTGTCAGATTTGAAGGGGTTAAATTATATCAACTTCCTTTATATATATTCTTTCCTAATGACCACTTTGCAGCTGTTAGATGACAGTGGGAAACTGTAAACACAGCCTATGCAAAGGTCATCTGGCTATTTGGCAATGAATGATGAATCATTAATGTCTGCAGTGAGGAAGTTTCCTTTATAATGTTGCTATCCTTCATGTCATAATTCATGATAATCAAGATCAGTGACTCCTGCATGTATAATGTAAAATGAGTTGAACTGTGAGTTTATGAGGTAATAATATTAATGCACTCTGAAGGTAGCGGAAGTTGGGACCTAAAGCTTCTTCACATGTAAATCTGCTAGGGATGGAAATTGATAAGATTTTATTGATGTCTGTGCTGTTATCGATGCTTATTGGTCCAATCCTTTATCGATTCCCTTATCGATTCCTGATCAGTTTTCTGTGTGGAAAAAAGTAGGGCTACACAGGTTTTCAGTATCAACGCAACTGTTTTATTATCTCTGCATCTGAACACAGTGTAAAAAGTACACTTGTAGTTGTTTGAGTTTCTTTGTGAAATTAAAGCACGCTTTGAACTGTTTCTTCCTCTCAGCCATGGCTCCTTGTTCATCATCATTTGACATCATTGACATCATTGTCAGAAAAAAACATGCTGGCATTGATAAGAGGAAGTGATAAAGTTGTAGGAGTATGATTTGGATGCATTCGACAATTTGGAAGCAGTTTTCAACTGGACCCAGTTCTGGATTCCCATCCCAAAAATCTTGTTTGCTTGCTACTTGCTACTGTTTTTGTTTAATATAAAGAAGGATGACCTGAATTTGGATGTACATTTTAAAAACATGGCGGCAATGAGAGAAAAAATACTTTTAGACTCTGGTGGCAGTCGTGACCCAGGTCTCTACTGTGACCGGCTAGTCAGATCTGAGTCATCTGGGCAAATGTCCACTGAAACGAGGTTGGAGTGTAGGACCCAGCGGCGTGCTGCGATGTGAGGGTGGAAAAATAGAAAGAGGGAGAGGGACCTGGTGGGAAGGAAGGCGAACCAGAGGGGTGAAGCATCAGGTTACAGTGTACATTCCGCCCAGACGCCATGTCGCCCAAACAGAGGAACACCAGCCTCCCTCACTGGCTAAATTCACCAGACAAGGGCAGGTCTATTATACTGTAGTGCTGATGCTCCGTCTTATAACACTGCATTCCATTAGTCTTCACATCTTTTACACATTTTTACTGATTTTAAGGAGATTTTCATACCATTAAAGCTTTATGAAACTGTACCAATGCATTAATTGATTCTCTTCTTTTACTGATTGGCCTTTGTCATTTTTTTTCTGGTGACAATGACTGGACTGAAATAACAGGTTGGGACACTAGCTAGTGTTTCATACACCCTATGTCTTCTTTTGTGTGAAGTGAAGTAGACCAGGCATACAGTAAGATCCCTGAAAGTCAATATTTCTATTTGCAATTCAGACATTGCTGCTGACAACACTTTAAAGCTTTATTTGAACTAAAAATATCCGTTAGCAGAGCTGTATTTAGGAGAGAGGTGTGTGTTTGTCTGTGTGTATGGTAAAGACAGGCCTGGAACAAACTGTTTTTGGCCCTGGGGTGCTGTCTCCTGTCTGTTGAAAACAACGCCAGGGAACAGAGTTACTGTAACAGCAGACAAAGACAGAAGGGCGGAGGCAGACAAAGTTTTCTGTGGCACTTGATTGACACAATTGATTGTGTGTGAGTACGTGTTCATGTTTACACCTGCAGCCTGAGGAAGTATGACATCAGAATTGGTATGCAAATGTTAGGAGCAGATTCCTCTTGTTGCCCCACAGTCACCTCATCTGTCACTGATCCTGTTTTTTTGAATTCTTTTCTGTCCCCAAAGGTATGGCAAGATTGTGTCTACCAAGGCCATCTTGGATAAAACCACCAACAAATGTAAAGGTGAGCTGTGTTGTTTTAACTCATATCTTTAAATAGTGCACAATTATTCCACTGGTTTTGGCTGTTTGGTTATTAAAAGAGTATTTCAGCATTTTGAGAAATACACTATTTTGCTTTCTTTTTGAGTTAGATAAGAAGATGTTTGTCAGTCTCATGTCTTTCTGCTATATTCAAAGCTACAGCCAAGAGACTGTTAGCTTAGCTTAGCCTAAGTACTGGAAACAGGTGCACAACCGCTAGGCTAGCTCTGTCAAAACGTCCAAAATTCACCTACCAGCACCTCTTAAGCTCATAAATTAACATGTAATATCTGGTATCTGTACAAACATTTTTGGACTAGCTATTTCCCCTTGCTTCCCATCTTTATGCTAAGCTAAGCTAACCATTACCTGGCTTTAGCATCATGTTTAACAGACAGATATTCAATTCAATTCAATTCAATTCAATTCAATTTTATTTGTATAGCGCCAATTCGTAACAGAAGTTATCTCAGGACACTTTTCGAATAGAGCAGGTCTAGACCGAACTCTTTATGACATTATTTATGTGGAGTGGTATCAATCTTCTTATCTAACATCCTACAAGAAAGCACATAACTTCAAAACTAAATAATGTCACAGCAATTTTAATACATATTTGTCTATTTTACAGGGTATGGATTTGTGGACTTTGACAGTCCAGCAGCAGCACAGAAAGCTGTTACAGCCCTGAAGTCCAGTGGGGTCCAGGCTCAGATGGCCAAAGTAAGAAATTATCCAACTCTTGATCAGCAACCAACCCCTCCTATACCCCCAAATTCACCAATCACCCATTAGGTTTAACTCGTCAAGTTCACCTTATGATCCAGTCTTGTATGGCCTCTCTCTAAAATATATTGATCCCCAAAGAGCCAACGGTTAAACTTTGACCACCAAGTGTCATAGTCCCTTTATCCAGTAGCACGCACTCACCATCTCTATCATATAAAACGTTATCTGCAGTGGCCTGATTGGCACCAAGTGTCTTGTTGGCAAGGGTTCAAGATAAACTCTGGTTTATAGGAAGGTGTGTACTTCATTATACCTGCCAATAATGGACAGCTGTACGAGGCATACATTTCACAAGCAAAATTGCTTTATTAATCCTTTGCTGCCTTCCCTTTCATCCTCATTTTTGCTTCTCTTTCTTCATCGCCCTCCTCATCACCTACTCTCTTCTTTTCCCTCACGCCCTCGTCTCTGTGCTTGTGTATGTTGCTAACCTGCTCCTGTTGTAGCACTTGTTCGGGGCTCTTTGTCCAAGTGTCTGCAGTCAAAGCAACTCTTGTCGGCCCATTAAGCTGATCCCTCTGGCTCTCAGGCTCCCCATTGAGGGAACCCAGGGGAGGGTGCCACTACACCCACTGTCAATGGGACAGGCACAATGGGCTGGCATTGTCCATCGTCTGGGCCCAGGCCTGGGGCTGACACCAGTACTTAATACACTCTACCCCAGTGTCCCTGCCCCCTCCCCCTTTGCCTGCACCCAAACACCCACTGCAATGTAACACCAGGGTCTCCCTCAACCCAGCTCTGGAAAACTGTAACAGATCCACACTGCCAGCTGACCTGAACCAGTCCGGTGCAACTAAACCCATGGTCTAACTTCACTGAACCTCGTCTGTAAGAGTGCCACACAACCCCATGTATCTCAATACCCGACAAGTGCAACTGGACACCAAGACTAGACTCATCCAGACAACATGTGCTCAGTCGGAGGTGTTGATAACCACTATTAAAACCTAAATATACACAGCTGCTCCAGAGTCACTGGGTTACCTCAGGCGAGGAAAAACAGGCATTAGTCAAAAATCTGTTTAATATCAAACTCTCAAGTGCTGTTTCATCTGTTTGCACGTTCACCATGGCTGCTGCAGAGTGTTGTTCACAAACAGAATGAGCCACACCTTGAACTAACTGTCCTCAAGAGCATACTCAGTCCCTGAACGGGCCACCCCAACCCCGAGGCTGTGGGCCCAGAGGAGCTGCATGCGTAGGGACCATGACAGAGTTAAAAATAGACCTCTTCTTACTTCCAGCACCTCCCTGTTCAAACTCAGACGTCAGCTTACACGCGCAGCTCAATACACAAGCAGCCACACCTCACACACCTCAACAGACATGGCTCACCTAGGACCTGGCGCAAAAAGTACTGTGACGCCTCAGCAAATCCCATTCACATGTGCCTGGGCCGCGTCCAACAGCATTTTCATATCTACAACAGAGTAAATATTTGTTTGAATATGAAATGGGATATAGTGTGTGCAAGCGAGAGGTAAAGGGTAAATAAATGATTAAAATAGGCATTTTGTTTTTTTTGTTCCTTTGTCATTGAGCCTTGAACTCCATTAGTCTCGTCTGCAGCGTGCCACTGGGTTACATAATGGTCGTATCACTGCACCCAGTATGACGACAATCAAGGAAAATAGGTTACCTCTTTGTACTTCTAGTACCTTCAGAGGCTACTCGTATAGGCAGTAAATCTTCATTTAAGATAGCGTTTGACACACTCATGAGTACAATAAATACCCTCAACCTTTATTGTCAACTCACTGTGTCCTCATCCAATTTGGCTGGACTCCTCTGCCAACTTGTAGTAGCATCTGGATCCTGGTTGTTCTCTCCTGTTTGATGGTTTGACTATCCCTTGAATTGCTTGACTTACACCTGACTTGAAAAACTTTATTATTTGTCGCACAGCTATCTGATAGTGGTAAGTGTTTGTAAGAGGGGATAAAATGGAAAATCATGAAGCAGGGCTCCAGAGTGCGACCAAAATTTTTAAGAGTGCGACTAATAATTTGCGTGTACTGTCAGCAGTGCGGTCAGAATATGGCCACAAATAGTGCATTCTTGAGCGGGTCAACAACGTTTCATATCGAAACTTTTAAAAAACATAAGATGTCTAAAAATACACGATATGCCGTGACAAGTGTGTGTAGAGAAAGTGGCCCCTCTCCCAGCTGCATTTCAGCGGCAGGTAGTTGTAATCCTTATTATTATCATTAATAATTATTTTACTTGAAATGTTTGAGTTTGAAATGTTCAATTTCAGTTCAGTGAAGCAATTTAAGCACAAGCACTTTTATTTGGAAATGTTTTATTTTGCTTAGTGTTTTAGTTTGAAATGTTTAATTTCAGCTCAGTGAAGCACTTTAAACACTTTATTTTTCTTTTTATATATAATTGTGCTTCAAATAAAGGCAAGCATTTCTCTACACCTTATTCTTGTTTAAAAATCATTCACATTATATGAAAGTTATGGAGAGCGATAAAAAGGTGACCTTAAGGCGTTAAAGGTGACTGAATGGAAATTTTGGGTGCACCTACATTTTGTGCTGGTGCACCTAAAAAAAAAAGTTAGGCGCACCAGTGCAACCAATGCAAAAAGTTAGTCTGGAGCTCTGTGAAGGCAAAAGAGGAAAGATGAAAGACAAGAGCCTGTTAATCAGCAGGCACTCATTCGCCCTCTTTTTCTACTTTGCTCTTTTCTCTCATCCTCCTCTTTCATTACCCAAATTACTCGAGACTCCCACTACTTCCTATCTTGTCAGTTCCCTCCTTGTGTACAAATATCTGCTTTTTAAGCTACTCATTTCTCCCACCCTCCCTCTACTTTATCCTCTTCCTTCACTCTCTGTTTTTCCCTTCCCCTCTTTTTAGCCCAGCCTCTTTCCTCCTGGTTGCCAGGCTCCTGTTGCTCTCTGTACTCTTTAACTTCATGCCTGGCTTCCTGTCTGCTTCTGCACAGTCACGCAAGGTTTCACTTTCAAGCTAGTGACACGGTCCTCTTTAATTGACTTGCAGCTATCAAGGTCTATTAATTTGACAACATAATCCCAAAATATGTGACTTTATCTTTGCAGACAAATTCATATTTGCATGTGTCAGTATATTTATGTGTACATGTGGATTTTTAAAACCCAGACAGCCTCAGCTGAGGCAATGACGCATTCAAACACATGGGTGACAGATTATTCAGGGTTTCAGTTTATTGGTCAGGCACTAATTGCTTAAAAATGTTTTATTCGTATCTGGTCCTACTGCAAAATGATACTTGACATTGTGCTTAAATATGATGAAGTATTAATGTGCCAAGAGTGATGGCAGGTGTTGATGGAAAGACAGGTCACACTACTGCCTACACAGGAATTTCTGTTGTGTGAAAAAGATTTTGAAGGTGCAAATGCATTAGCAAAGATATTTGAAAGTTCTTTTTTTTAAGTTGAAGTAATTTAGGCTAATTTCTTCCAGTGAGACACCTGGAAGAAGCGAATTAATAAACGAGAATAGGTACGAATAAAGCAGTGGTTTCAGATGTCTGCAACTTCTGAAGCAACACACATTGGTATTGCAATGGAAACTGATTTTCATATCCACTTACTGTACAGCAACAAGAGCAGGACCCCACCAACCTCTACATCTCCAACCTGCCAGTATCTATGGATGAGCAAGAGCTAGAGAGCATGCTCAAGTCCTTTGGCCAGGTCATTTCCACGCGCATCCTCCGAGACGCGAACGGGACCAGCCGTGGTGTGGGATTTGCCAGGTCAGACTGATGTAACACACTAATCCTTGATGGTGTATGGTGAATATTGAGAGTACAGTTTGTGCCAGAAATAAAAAAAAGTAGCCTGTATGCAATTAAATATGGCTTTGACTGTATTTCAGAATGGAGTCCACAGAGAAGTGCGAGGCCATAATTCAGCATTTCAATGGCAAATTCATCAAGACTCCACCGGGAGTGCCTGGTGTGTGGAATGTTTGTTTTATATTATAGGAACCTGATATTGTTGTTGTTAGTGCCAGAGCTCCAGTGTTTTTCTTCCCCGCTGTGATAATTGAATTCACTCTCTTGTTTGATGTGTTGCTTTCACAGTGCCCACAGAGCCCTTATTATGTAAGTTTGCAGACGGAGGTCAGAAGAAGAGGCAGAACCAGGGGAAGTACCTCCAGAATGGAAGGCCCTGGGCTAGAGACGGAGATGCGGTGAGATTGCAGCTTTTAACTTGTGATCGTTACAGTGAACTTCCTGTGTTCATATGTCACATTTCTAGTTGGAAAAGAAAGCAAGAACATGTTTGAAAGTTTTGAATTTGATTATTCTCACCGTGTGCTAGCTGACTGTTTTAGCACACACTACCCCGGTGTGTGCATGACCTCACTGGTTTTGAATTCTGTGTATTGTTTTCCCAGGGAGGAATGACGCTTGCGTATGACCCCACAGCCTTACAAAATGGGTGAGTGGTATGCATGAACTGACTGAAAACAGTCCCAGCCCTCCAGGAAAGTAAGCAAAATACTCAAACTCTGTTAAAGTGCTGCCCTCTGCTGGGCATTGCAGGAACTCAGAAATGTTGTTAATGTAATTGGAGACATACTGCAGATTGTTGACATGGTGTGGCTGTCTTCATGGTTTCTCCCCACTTTGCTCTGTCTGTTCGCCAGCTTTTACTCCGCACCCTACAGTCTGGCTCCAAACCGAATGATCACCCAGACTTCCCTCTCACCCTACATGCATTCTCCTGTCTCATCCTACCAGGTAGGATATTTTATTGTGTTTATAATTCACATTCATTTGTTTTAAAGTGTGTTGTTTTTCTGTGCCAAACCCCTCATTATGTCCACATTATGTAAGTTAACTGAGCCTCAGGGAGGACCTCAGCCCACAGTACTGATCATATTTCTTCAGGTCTCATGACCTTTCTCAGAAATCTTACATGAGTGCTCTGAAGGGACTGTGAAAGCAGCAGATTAACAGTACAAATGAGTTTCTATGATGTGTTTCCTGACCTATAGGTACACAGCCCGTCCTGGATGCACCATCAGTCATACCTCATGCAGCCAGCTGTGAGTATCCCTCCTTCACCACCTTCTCTTCTTCTCACATGATACCCCATTTATATTTGACCACTTTATGTGCCTTGGGTGGATCGGATACATATCTGATAGCAAAAAGCTAAATGTAAACGCAATCAAGAAGCATTTGGATGTGATTTGAGATGCATTGACGCATAACTTAACCGCAGTTCTCGACATATTTGTCTCTGTTTGAAATTAGAGACTCTGGAATTTATGGTTTGTGTGTGTCTGTATACTTTCACAGGGTACAGTTCTTACCCCAACAATGGATCACGCCATGTCCATCCAGCCCACATCCATGATGGGACCTCTCGCCCAGCAGCTAAGCCACCTGTCCCTAGGCAGCACGGGCACAGTCAGTACCAATCTCACCCACACACACACACACACACATGATGTCACAGAAATTATATATAGTTAACAGCCACAGCTAACTGTCCTGAAATTCACAAGGACAATTATTTATGTCAAAATACAACACACAATTTGTGTTTTCCTCTCTGCCTTCCCTACAGTATATTCCGGCCAACACAACTATGCAGGGGACCTACATCCCCCAGTACACCCCAGTGCCTCCCTCCAGTGTCCCAGAGGTATGTAGCTAGCCTCAACCTCAGCTGCTTACATTTTATATTTCCATGAAGTGGATGACTAAGAATTCTCATAGGGACATATTTACAAAAACAAAGAGTTGCTGCTTTATCTTGTTGCTGTCTTATTTGTACATGTTTTAAGGAGTGGCAGAGTTAAGGCACAAAAGTAGGCTAGCTGATTATCAAACTGCCAGCTGACTGATTTACTGAACTGGACAGTGTTCATGTGCCCCGAAGGTGTGTGTGGTATTATATGACAGGTAGGAGCTGGCGTGATTATTTCTGCAGTGTTCTATAAATACAAAAAATAATATTGCATCAGAGATTTTGTGTTTTTCAGATACCTCAAAGTGAGGTGCTGAAACAACAGTATTGATTCATGTGCTATTTTGGAAAGATGAAACACAAAGACAGGACCAGCAGGAGTCATGCCGTTCCTAGTTTACAGAAACTTGATAGGACAGAGGGATTTTAAAAAAGATGTATTTTCTTTTGTTGTTGTCAAGTTGGTGACCTGGACCCACCGTGAACATCATAATTATCACTTTCTAACATTTTCTGAGTTTCAATGCATCCTACATCATTAAAATTCTTTAAAACTTTCTCAGGTTATGAGCTGCTTTACTGTAAAAGTGCAGTTAATACATCTTTCAATTTAATGTTCGATATCTGCGGCAAGCAGACGAGAGCTGAGCTTTTGAAGATAATAACATGTTATTAAAAAAAATAATTAAGTCCTGATAAAGTAATGAGGCAGAGTGGGCCTACATTATGAGTCTAGTTTTTATTTATTTTGCTTATTTCTTCACTGTAATAGAAGGCATGCTGTACATCTAAGAAACCACTAAAATAATGCTATTTTAAACAATTAATTTTGTATCATAGATAGTTTTTCACTCCAAACATATTTCCATTGCACTTTAGCACTTGCTGATATGCTGAACTAAACTGTTTAAATAATGCCTTTCTGTCTTCCTCACTTTCTCCTTGAATCATTCATAATAACTGTTTATTACTTAATGAATCTATTAAATTATATTATATTTTTCCTAATCTTCTTGTGAAATAGCACAGTGTGCTGCCCAAACCGTATGAGTATATTGGCTCCTCCATTATTCAACTAGAGAAGCCTTTGCCACTCATGAATGAGAATTAGAATAATTTTATGGAGGCTTTTGGCGCAGTCTCTGCAGTGTGTGTGCTCCAGTGCTGTAGCAGATCCTGGCTGAGTGCTCTGCAGGAGGGTGTCTGAGCCTGCAGGGAGCCTTGAGTCATTTGTTGGAAGGTGGAGCTCAGTGATAGTGGTGGGAACCTGCAGGAGGAGCAAGACAGTGAATGAGAAAAAAAGGGCAGGTTTATGAATGGGAAGAGGCACATAAGTAAACCAGGAACTCAGGATGTTACTCTGTGCATGAGGGATAGTAGGTAGGAGAGGAGAGGGTGGAGTAGACCCAAAATTTACTTTAAGCCACCTCTTATATTATAGCACAAGGTAAATGTTAAGCGTGCCTCTTATCAAATACATCCTCCTTATTTGGTTCATCCACTCAAAAGCAGATAATGTCTTTATTCTAATGGAGAGGGCAGTGGGAAAATACAGGCTGTCTTCTTCTTTGTGTCTTAAATGAAATCTGTTTAATTGACACATATTGTCATTAATCACCAAGTACAGTATTCTCTGAATAATCTGTAATACTTTTTTTTTTTTAGGAGAACGGCGGTCAACAGCAACAGGTTGCCATGGAGACTCCTGCAGAACACACAAACTACTCGTACCAACACACCAAGTGAAACTAAGGTAAGCCGGTGAGAATTTCTCTGCTCAGTCCTGCAAATGACACAAATGTAGGCTGATGTGAAAAAACATGATCAGCAGGACTGACGTGAAAAAGGATAAAAAAGTTAGACATTTTTCACTCAACAAATCCGAACACATGTTGGTCTGATTGCAATTGAAGGTAAAACAGTTGGAAACCCGAAGGGATGATACCTCCTGTGGCTGACTGGACAGGGGTTCCAGTATTATTCAACTATTCTATTAACGTTACATTCCTATGTTATAGCCTACAAATCACTTTCAATCAAAAAGATTTAAACTAAAATTAGTTTAAACAGTTGAATTTTATATCATCATGTTGAGACCTGTATATGCCTGATAGCACATAAAGGGAATACTGTAAGTGTTAAAGGAGTAGTTTGACATTTAGTTTGCCAAGAGGCTGCAATGACTCCCTGAGGTCTTGTTGTCACTGAGGTTGCCAGGCAACCAGTAGAGACTAGCAGAGCCAAAGAAAATGTCTTTATACTTATTTATTCTTCCTGGATTAACCGAAGGAGATAAAGATTGTTAATCGGTGAAATGTAGAGGTGCTGGTAGGCAGATTTAGTTGTATCTTTGTACGAAGCCAGGCAAACTATTTCCCCGTTTCCAGTCTTTGTGCTAAGCTAAGCTACGGTGTGTTTGTGTGTGTCTTCCAGCTCCCAGCAGGGTGGAGCCGGGGGCACAAGATGAATCCAACCTAACAGGATTCAGCTGGAAGAGAACTGTGCTCCATACCATCACCAAGCAACCGGACTTGAACATGGATAACAAAAGGAACGTGTGTGTGTGTTTATGTGTGTTTGTGTGTGTGTGTGTGTGTGCGTGTGTGTGTGTGTGTGTGTGTGTGTGTGTGTGGTGTGTGTATGTGTGTGTTTGTGTGTGTGTGCGTATGTCTGTTTTTTTGTTGTTTTTTTGTTGTTTTTTTAAGAAAAAGGACAACTCTCACATCATTGGACTTTCCTGCTCACATCCTCAAGAGTTGATCAACCAAAGGTGGGAATCTTCTTCACAGAAGCTTTGATCTATTTTGATAACTGAAATAAAGGAACATAACAAGAAGTTTAAAAAAAAAAAATAAGAAAAAAATTTAAGAGAGGAGGAAAAGACACAGAGCATTATTTTTGTGCACGTAATATAACAAATTCTTATTTTTAAAAAAAGCATTCTGGACGTTTCAGGGTGATTCAAGGAAGAGTTGAAACACAATGTGTCTTTTATTTTTTGTAAAATATGCAAACTTTTATTTTTATTTCCTGATGTCTGTTGTTTGACATTCTATTTGCAGCAGCAGGGGCAACAATTTGTACAGATTTAAACACTTACAAACACTTTTGCTGGTCTGATGTGTTGAGGGAGGCAAACCGTTTAAAGCTACTTCTTCCTGTAACTGCTGCAGAGATTTCTATTCACGCACAGAAGATAATAACATTGTTTATAGTTTAGTCAAATTCTTTTTTTTTTCTACTTTAAACCATTATTCCATAAGTGAACAAAAGACAATCAGTTATTTCTATTTATATTTGAATTATAGTTCTATTTTTTAGAGTTTTTAGCTCATTGAAACATACATTTACAGAAAAGAAGTTATTTAATACTGTAGTCTATAAAGACAATGATGAACTTTACCCGACACGTTAATGATGAGCTCTAATATTTGGCTCATGCAAATTCTTCATGAGTAGTTTTGATCGTTGGATGGTTGGACTTTCATTTCTGTTCAGTCCTGTATGCACCATCATCAAATGACACCTGTTCATACTAAACGTCCTGTGTTGTTATACTGTAACTCCATGTTACATCCGTGTCCATGAGAAGTGGTTTTAAGCGGTTTTGTTGTGGCGAACCTTCAGGTATCATTTAATTCATCCTCTCTAGAAAGGATGAAGCAGACGTGCTTTAGATCTTAAGCAGTAAGATTACTGAAAGATTATGTGTACAAAGAACAATGCAGTTACTAAATTAAGATATAGTTTAGCAAAGCAATGAGGGAAATCAAATAGGAGACTAACACGATCCCTGAGAATAATTTGTTTGACAGGAAAGGGAACTGTAAGTCTTTTTTTCAATGCTGCTGTTGTCACCTGAGTTTGATTCTGTCAGTGATTTTTAGTTTGTAGAAAGTTAAATGTTTTCTGTTTTGTTTTTTTTCCTTTTGTCTGTCACTTGAAACCATTGAGCTAATTTGCCTTATTTTTGATGAATTTATCTTTGAAGTAGATTTGATTTTAGCTGTAGAGTTTAGCTTTTTATAGAGAGTAGATGTTAGTTTTGTTTCTCTGCGTAGGGATTGATGCTGTTTATCTTGTGCACATCAAGTTTTCTCTTGTTTCGTTTTCACACAAACCTCCGTTCCAAACCTTGTGTCTTCTGTCCTAACGTTGGGCCTGTTTGTAGAAAAAAAAAAAAAGACTTTCAGAGCGGAGAGCTGAACCAAACAATCACTTTATTTAGTGCTGATCCAAAAGATTCATATTGATGCTGCATCAGAGTTGCGGCTCAAAGAGGCTTCATATGTGCAAGCCCCGGGTATGTTTCAGTCTTTCGGCCAGCACATGGAGTGGAGCTCATGTCACCACGTATAGTACATCCAAAATATGTTGAACTTTAATTTATACAGACATCAAAAACTGTAGATATGTAGATAATAGAAATCATGGTTTTACAAGGACTGCTCACTAGACCATGGAAGTGCCATTAAAGACGATTCTTACAGCCTTTAGTGAGACAGCAAGTCTGAATGAATTTGTGAGTGATCCAAAATTCTGCAAAAACTATTTTTAGCTAAGCCTTAATGTTTTTTTTCTCTGGATGAACTGCCTGATCTCTCATAGGATTGACATTAACACTTGGTTCACACTGCCAACCTGAGCAGCGTGTGACGGCTGCGTCTGGCACGTGTGCGGTGTTTACACCGACAGAGTGTCAGCTTCGTGTCTGCTGCTGAGCTGCTGCTGCCAGCCCTATCTTTCTATACTGAGTTTGCCTTTGATAAATACCATACAATAAAAGCTTAAAAGTTAACATGTGAATGGATTCTGTCCACAGAAACACCAGGGGGCTTTTAATCTGAAACAGATACAGGAGTTTAAAAAATACATTCAAATTTCATTCCATGTCTGTGACATATTCTACACATATAGACATTAAAACTGTAGTGAAAGGTGTATATGCTGCTGGTATACTGTCGATATGTCTATGAACACTGTTTATTTTTGCTGGGAACTGTTCGCCGCCAGCAGTGTGACTGCTCTAATCTGTTAACAGGGCGCCGACATAACAGTTTCACCACACACACACACTCTGCTCAGGTCGACAGTGTGAACAAGCCGTAATTTGTATATAATACAGAAAAATGGCACCAGGCTTGTTTCAATGCCATTGATTGAGTCGTCATGTCAGTCTAGTTAGCTGTAGGCTTTCTGAGGAGCTTTCCTTCCTGCTTCTCAACCATTGTTGTTTGAATCCAGTGGAAAAACGCAGCTTGATAACGTCTTTCTCGAGGCTCGCAGTTTGATGATTCTTCTTTTGTTGTGTGTTTCTGTTGTTCATTTCCGCAACCAAAGATGTTGTAGCCACCCATCTTTTAGCTCTCTGTCACAGATAAACTGCTCTCATCTGCAGACGATCATCTGCTGTGTGCAGCTGGATAAAATAGATAGACGCAGAAAGAGAAAGATCGCAATAAAGGGTGGTAACATGCACACAATATTCCACATTATGACTTATGGTTTTGTGGGAACTTCTTGGCACTACTGTATCCATCATATAGTAAAGTACACATATCAAAACATTTGGGCTGATTTTTAAAATTAACAACTCAATAAATCTGGTTTTGATTACATGTGTAAACTCTTCAGTGCATGTAAACAGAGTCATTATGAACTTCATTGGCCTCTGCAGACACCCAGGATGAATACAGAGCTTTTACGATGGTGAGAGTTTTCAGACACGAGAGCTAATTTTGTAAATAGTCTTTTTTTTCCTTCCACTTTCTCTTTACACAATTTTGTTTGTTTCCTCTTGTGTGTTTTTTTTTAATGATTTATAACCTGGTCAGATAACACAGTGACTAGCAAGTTTTAAGATTCAGTGCACCATGAAGGAAAATGTCATGGATATTGTTTATATGTTCAAAGAAATGATATTCCATGTATTAGCCATCACTTTTAATACAAAAACAGGATTTTGGAACTATGAAATGACCACTTGTTACAATGCAGTGTTTATTTATTTTGTTTTATTTTTACAAACTTGTCAGCAGAGATAATATTACAGGAAATTACAAGCCTCCAAAATTAATTAGCATCATGAAAATTATAGAACTTTAAGTTACATTTAAATTATAGGAATACAAAGATCAATTGTGTGCTCTGAAGACAATACAAATATTTGAAAGAAAGAAAAATCTCCTTGCACTTATTATTTCTAGTCAACACCAATTTGAAATGCTCGTTTTGTCCATCCTTAATGTAGATTTGATGGCTTATTTCATAGCTTCAAAATGTTTTGCTGCTAAAACAGGATTTCCAAACAGGTGGTTAGATGTTGCCCAGTCTGGATTTTTAAAATGTGCCTTTTTATTTTAATTTGGTTAATACAGAGTAACCTTCTTCATGATACTAAAATAAAGAAATTAGTTTGCTATTATTTTTCTTATGGGCAGTTTAAATAGTTGTATTTTACATTAATAAAGAAATTACAATGTTGTCTTAAGGTGACTTTTTTGAACATGAAATAATAAAAACATGCCCTGTTGCACACTGTATGAACCAAGTTTGTGTGAATCCCACTTTTTGAAAATCTGACGGGCTCATCTCACTTTCTGCTTGTGAACAGTTTTCTTATTTATACAAGAACTCATTTTGTACAGTTTTGTTAGAGGAAAGAGGTTTTGATATTTGGTTATTTTGCAAAGCCACTTGGCTACTTTTGTCTTCCTGTGCCAGAGTTGCTAAATTGTCTGTAACTTGTGTTTTTTTTATTGATTGAAATAAGATTTCCCTTCTTTCTTGGTTTTCTCTTTGAATTTGAATATGTCAATTTTTCTTTTTTTAATAAAAGCCTTGTTTCAATGATTGGGTGAACTGTGTTATTGAACTATTATAGTTCATTACTGATGCTAACCCAGATGGGTCATTACATACTGCTGTTGTTGCTTCAGCTGACTTATCGCCTTGTCTGACTCCAATTTATAAATCCACTTGTTCTGTTTAGGGCTGTGGGAAACTCAAGTGGGAGCTTGTAGCTTCCTGATTAAAAATCCTGAAAAAATCCTCGATTGCCTCTCCAGGTTTCATAGGTAAAACAAATCTAAATTTTTTTATTTATAGTCAATATTCTCCTAAAAAGATGCTCAAGGTGCACGGTGGCGCACACCCCATATAGGCTGAGTCGTCATCTATCTTCACCTGTCCTATCAAATAAAGGCATGAAAGCCCCAAAAATATCTTATATGAGCACTCGTATGAATATGAGTGCTCAAACTGAATGTCAGTCAAAGATAAGGCAGTAAAGGAGTGTGTCTTATCAATATTTATCTGTGATGAAGTATGAGGTCCATATCAACAAAAAGTGAACGTTAAGTGACATTATTTTGCTAATAAATATATATATATTAGCTCATGTAATATGGGAGGAAAACACGGGGGAAATAAACTCCACAGAGATTCAGGACATGTAAGGTGACAGTGTTAACTGAGTTTCTGCCTTCTTATCTTAACATAAAGTTCAAATGTCTTAATAATTCTAATAATAAGCATTTACCATTTTTCACATGCCAGTCACAGTACTTTTCATGTGTCCGTTTTATTTGAAATATGTCACAATCAAATGGATACCGCTCATTGTCTTTAGAAAAAATATATAGCAACATGTCACATGTTTTACTCACGATACAGTTGAACGTTTCAGATAATAACAATTTTCTATCACATCCCAAAGGCCACATTAAAGTTACAATACAAATTGCAACTGATCTCTAATAACTAAAGTATGTTGTTAAAGTACCTATCTTTTCCCTTTATGGTTGGTGTTGTGTCTCAGTTTCAAAAGTATTAGTTGAAATCCCATTATTCAGGTTTTGTTCAGACCCTTATCTATGCTCAAATTGAGCCTTTAGTATGGAAATATGTTACACACATACAGTAAAACATTAAACTTGTCGTCTATGATAATGTGCATAAAAAACAAGTATAAACCAACTGTATCTACTGAACATAGCTTGTGAAACAGTTAGTTATTAAAGTAAACTCTTGCAGATTTCCTGAATCATCCCTTTTTGGCTCATTGATGGATACGATGAACACATTAATGCAGGATACTGATCATACTCTACCTTTCTGCTGTGTTATCCACTTACAAGCCTAATGACTGTTTTAACACATACTGTAGGATGGTGGGGTCACAGCAGGCCCCAAGTACAATATGAAAACAGACTGACAGGAATGGCCAGAGTACAGTGAACAACTACAGTAACACAGTACAGCATCAGGCAGGCATAGTGACAAAACCAGCGGCAGGATTGTAAGATTACATAACCAAAAGCATAGAACAGATTGCTCTCACTTACACTGATGCATGTACCAACAAAATGGAAAACAAAACTAGTGATTCATCAAAAACCGTATAGCCCTGATGTCATCTTGTTCATGAGGGTAATAAACCCAAGTTGGTTGTTGGGTTTGTTGAGAGTTCAAATAGTGCAGAGACCGATGTACTGTATGTTTGGGAAAAGTGGAGCTTTACTCGCGGCCTCCTCCCAGGATCTGGAGCAGGAAGCTGAACAGGTAGATAATGTCCAGGTAGAGGCTGAGGGTGGCAAAAACATATTCCTCTGGACTTATACTGTAGCGCTTGTTCCCTAACAGCAACTGAGTGTCAAATGCCAGGAACTGTGTCAGAAAGAGAAGAGGGAGAAAACAAAACCAGTAAATGAGTAAGAAAACCTTCAACTGGACAATATTGAGGTTTTAAAGAATGATCTGATTCTCACCAGAGTAAAGAGGATGGCTCCTGCCACAGCATAAAGGGCATGTAACCAGGGAACCTGTAATACAAAGGCATTACAAAACACTGCTTAGGATAGCAGGATGTTAACTGAAGAAAGACAGCAGAGAGCTTTGCTAGATTATCTGTGAGGCTAATCCCTTCTCACACATCCAAATTCAGCCGGCAGCACTTGAGGCATTAACCTGTAGCTGTGGTTTGACTCATCGACTATATTAGACTTCTTCTAGAAAGGTGTGTGCACGCTGAACGTATGGAAGAGGTGAACTTACATATCCGAAAGGGACGGCAATGGACATGGTGATGGCACAGAGGAGCATGACCATGCACAAAGAAAACAAGACACCTTGATAGGATGTGACGTCAATCTGCAACAACAACAAAACAAAAAAAAATGAATGATGGATTTATTTCATGTGAACAAAATCTGTCTTCTTGGTTGTTTGAAAGCAGTTTGATGTTGAATTAGTTCTTCTCACCTTGCTCTGGAAGCTGAAGATGGTGACAGAGAGACACACCAGAGCTGTGATTCCCAGACACAGGACAACTGATTTGGTGTTATAAAAGCTGGAGGAAAGAGAAGGCAGTCATTAAAGAAGCTTTTACTTAAAGGTTTGGATGAGTTTAAAATCAGTGTGTCACAATATGTATTTACCTTGCCACAAATCCCATCATGAAGGCCATGCTCAAGGTCTGAGGAGAACAGTAAAGAAATATTACCCCGGTTATGCTTTATGTGTGAAGAGCATATTGTATTCAGTGATAATGTCCTGTTTTTATGGTGAGAAATACTCACAAAGAGAACTAACAAAATGATATTCCAAGGAAACTGCCTCCTGTTTAGGTAAAAGAGAAAAAAATCCACTTTATCAACAAATGTATATCTACACAGCATTATGTATGAGCTTGAATGGATATTTGTGTTGTTATTTATGTGGTAAAGAAACATTACCTCAGGTCTCCACAGCAGGACAAAGCAATGTAGGTGACAAAGAACATGAGACTGTCAAAAAAAAAGGGAAAATTTTGATTAAAAACTACAATTAAAGTTACAGAAAAAACACTATGATGTAATGTGATATGATGACGTGTTTCCACTTACTAAGATGCCATGTACAAGCCAGGATGAGTCTGAATATAAAACCTCACAGGCGCACTGTAGAGACAAAAATTAAATGGATTTATTCTCTGTTTTAATCACAGTGGTAAGAACAAAAACATTATGTGTAAATAATAATATAGATGACCACAAGAGTAGTTACCAAAATGAGAAGAGACCAACAATGGCCACTGTCACAAGCAGCTGAACCATGAGAATGGCATAGACCTGCAGGAAGACATACACTGTGTCAGGGCAATGGTTTCACAGTGTTTTTGTTATGGATGTGGTGACTTTTCTCCTGTGACTCATTCATACCTTCCTGATGAAGGTCCGCCTGATGGTCTTGTCGTCCCAGGAAAACTGGGCCTCCATCTCCTCAAAGCCTAAAAAGAAAGAGGAGACACGAGGATTCAACTTAGTAGAAAGAATCATTCAGACAAATGAAGTCTTCATGCAGGAGGCAGGTTTGACTGGTACTAATATGATTTATAATAATTACTTTTCAACATTTATGTGCCTTCAAGTCATAACTTTTAAACCTGAACGAAGTGCAACATCATTACAATTAATAATTAAGATTACAGATTGCAATAAAACAGAAAGAAAACAAAGAGATTCCTTTTTACCTGCAGTCGCCTCCTGATAAGTGGGGGGCTCATTGTCATCATTCACCTGCTGGGATTGAATTATGGGTCAGCAATAATAATAATAACATAAAATGAAAAACTGTCTTTATATTCCCCATGCGTTTTATTGTGTTTACTCTCAAACACATGAACCAGTACAGCAATAATTTTCCTTTCACCTATTGTTCAGCTGTGCATTGCGTACGGCACATTATATTTTACTGCTGACAATTGTCTGTCACAGATTTGTCCTACAAAACAGCCTCCATGTTTGATCAGTTCAAAGGATTAGGATGGATGTGATGGGCCTCAATCTTTTTGTAACCAGCATAAAAAACAAGTATAGAGAAACCAGCGTTCATGAAATCAGCTCTTGACACACACACATAAAAAAAAGAAATCATAAATCTTTTTAATCATATGTCATTATTTGGTTGATTATTTTTTAATCCTGGCTGTGATGTTGCAATTAAAAGAGATCAGACACAGAAGCTCCATATCTCTACAATCCTACCTCAAAGCCATGACTTTATCATTTGTGCCGCTCTATCTCATTTTAGGTCCTTTGTTGGGGATTATAAGTATCTATTACATTAAACAAACACACTCAAGAAATTACACTGAAATGTCATAGATCTAAATTATATAAATCTGTCACTACACATTGTATTACAAAGCTGTAGCTCCACTATAAGGTAGGAAACTTAAAAACATACCTTTCCCTTTTTCATGATGTTTCCCTCTATGCACCTTTGTGTTGCTGATGATGAGGAAGACTATTCTGACTTCACAAGTAAAATACTTTGCTTGTAGGTTGTCTTTTCAACTCAAAATACGAAATATCTCAGTTTCCTTCTCTTTTAATTAGGTCTGTGCGGTCCAAAACAAAGTGAGTTGCGAGCAAAAATGTTGCTTGTAGAATAGTTGTTGCTCTGAATTTGTCTCCAGTATGCGGATTACACTGAAGCTTTATAGGCCTCCATGTGGTTAATCTCTCTCTAACCCTGATCCCACGCCACCCCTGTCCTAGGCCTAGTGATGTCGTTCCAGCACAGTCCAGGTATTGCCAAAGCACTGAGATGAAGCCAGAATGTACCACTGTTGTTGCTTAACAGGGGTGTCGTTTATGTCTCTCTGCTGGCACAAACCGTCTCAACTGTGTTCCAGGACAGTTAATCATCCTACTGCTCACCAGAAAGACTCAAAGGACTTATATATCTGAATTTCATACATTACATAACTACTTTGCTCCACTTTAGAGGACAGACACAGAGGATATTTGATCATCAGCATGCATATTCATATTACTTATAAGTACATGTAATAAATCACAACCAACAATTACTGCACATGTGAACATACACAACAGTCATATATTATTATTATTATTATTATTATTATTAAGAGAGCTTAAGATGTATGATTATCAAACTTTTAGCTTTTCTTAATGCAGACTTTGTCATCAAATATTTGTATGTGATTAAATGGAACAATTAAAGGAAGCTACAGGAGACAGTGTATTTGTATTTGTACTATTTATTTGTGCCATACAATTTAATTATTGTCTTCTTTTTTTAGCAACACAACAGTAGACTTTTCTAGTGAACTATGACATCATGTTTTTGTGTAAGAGACTGGTTTAGTAACCGGCACACCAGACTAATGAGATTGAAGTTAAGTACATTATTAAGCACACACATACATTTAAAAACAGTAATAATGAGATTTCCCAGCAACCACCCACCTTTGACATACTAAGACAATTACAAACATGCCAACATGATACAGGCTCTAAAAATAGCTAATTCTGTCTCTATATTAATTGATTGATATTTATATTAATTATAAAATAAGGATAAGGAAAACTACTTATCACATTTAATGGATCATTCTTTTCATTAGCAACTGATGAAAATGAATGTGAAAAGTCTATATGGTGATAAAGTGCTGCTACATAGGCTGTTACATCCATGATGACATAATGCCACTATATTTACCAGGATATATATAAATAAATAAATATATATCTTTATTGTAGCAATAAAATTTTTTTAACCAAGGCAGTGTTTCCATTTACTCATTCATTCATTCAGTAAAGTTCTGAAGAACTAAACAAAGACTATTCCTATCTGTATGCCAGCTCCTCATCTACACTGGGTCTCTGGTTAGAGAGATGGACACAGAAGCAAAGGTCTGGTTCCACTCAAACTTTACTGATGCTCAATATTAGACACAGTGAAACATGTCTGAAACTACAATGATAGACAATAGTGAGTCAATATATATTTTTTTTTTTTTGCGAGACGCTCAAGAGAGGAGTGTATGTAGGTTGACATCAACTGAGTTACTTAAATTATTAAAAATAATAATAATTCCTTGTCATAATATTTATAATAATCATAATGTTATATACAGGCAACAGCGCCTAACTATTATCATGTTTTGCTGTAATTTAGTCATAATCTCTTGTATATATGTCTATGGTCAAACTGGTACTAATGTCCACAGAACCCCTAAAGAACAACCTCAAAACCTAAAAGTATTCATTCAGATATGTACATTATTTAACATTGTTCATTTAAGCAGTATTATTACTGTTGTTGATCATTTAATATTCATTTTAAATAGGCCTTTTCTAATATACAGATCAGTGTTATTTGTCATGATTACTTTGGTTATTTAGCCTATACTTTACAGAATCATTATCCGTAGTGTAAAATTACGGTGGCCGACAAGGGCAAACGCGCCGCAAACGGCAAAACGCTTCAAACACAGGAATGATGCAAATCCAAAAACACACAAACACATAAAAACAAATGCAACAGAAAAATGCTGCGATCACAGAAACGAAACAGACGCAAAAATTCACAAAGCCACAAAACAAATGCCAAAGAGAAATGCTGCAAATATAAAAAACACACAAAACAACAAAACAACAAAACAACAAGATAGAAACGCTGCAAATTCCCTCCACAAAACGGAAGTGCGCCAGGCCACTAGGGGGACCCGACCAGAGGGATGGACCAGTCCTGTGGGACCAGAGCAAAAAGACATGAAGAAGAAGAAGAAGAAGAAGAAGAAGAAGATAATATTATAATTATATTATTTAATATTATAGAAGAATATTATAATAATTATAATATTATAATATAATATTATATTTTTATAATAATATAATATTATAAAAGATTAAGGCCAAGTGTTTAAAAAAGACATAAAGGAAAACGTACCTTTTTACTGTCCTCTCCAAAACTTAGCCAACTTTCTTCTTCTTCTTCTTCTTCATGTCTTTTGGCTCTGGTCCCACAGGATTGGTCCATCCCTCAGGTCGGGTCCCCCTAGTGGCCTGGCGCACTTCCGTTTTGTCGAGTGAATTTGTAGCGTTTCTAACTGGTATTTGTTTTGTTGTTTTGTGTGTTTTTGCTTCTGCTTCGTTTCTGTGATCGCAGCATTTTTCTGTTGCTGCGTTTTTATGTATTTGTGTGTTTTTGGATTTGCATCATTCCCGTGTTTGAAGCGTTTTGCCGTTTGCCCTTGTTGGCCACCGTATAAAATAAATAAAAGTGCTTCATAGTGTGATGCCAAAACACTTATTAAATGATGCAGTCAACTGTGATTTATCACACACAATGTGACAGCGCATTATATCTCACCATGTAACTGCACTCTGTTATATTATGTGTAGATCTCCATACAGACAAAGCTGTGAGAATAAACTGTGTATTAAGAATGATTGAATTTAGTTTTTAATAATATTAATTATGGTTTCAATTATGCCAAACATACAAATAGCATTCATGTTCAACATGTGGAGGTGCAGTATTTTTATATTTTTATATATATAGATGATGGCGGAGAACGAATCCAGGTCACAGGAGCAGAGAGGACGCGAGGAAGCTCTCAAAAAGGACCCCAGTCCTCACCGAGTCATCTTGTCTAAGTCAGCTAACATTAACTGCACGAGCTAATTAGCTAACGGCAGCTAACGTTACTGCTGGTGACAGTTAGCTGCTGAGCCCCGTTCAGTTGCACCAGAGCCGTCTACGGAGAGCCTGGCCACTCTCTATTGAGTCCCATTGTACTGAATTTTGGTTGCAGTTCCAGCAGAGTTCCACTGGGGGCGATCGCCCATGAGTGCAGAATGAATGAGAGTCTATTGAGCTAGACGGCTAAATTTGTCTCTTTCACCTGATTGTTGTTGAGAAATCTCAGATTTGATTGTAGTTTTTGCAAGTTCAACATGGGTTATAGGTGGAAAGTTGAATGAACGAGTATTTATGTCCTTTCGATTTCTTACAGGTTGAGTTGTTGTTGCCCATAACACACTAGCATTCTACTAATGAACGCTTATTGGTCAGTGAAGGACTGATTACAACCAGAGATCCCGCTTGATGGCATCGTGGCATCCGAAGCGGGAATATGAATATTTCGGCGTGGTGTTTAAAATAGCAAAACAAAAACTCTTTCTAGCACGTGTATTGACAGGGAGAGCCTAACCTGTGTCAGCTGTGTTGTCGATGCCTCGAGAGAAGAATAAGTGCAGAGCGCGGAAGCACAAAGTGACTATCTCTGGCCGTACGATGTGTATGACGTCATTGACATTTAAAAAGACTTTTTAAAGCAAAAAAAAAATCTAACACCCAGCAATGTGTAATTTCTTTGCATCCCCTTTCAAATGCAACATTGAAATTACTAGACAAAAAATTATATCCTGAGAAAAGTGGATTTTGAGGGTATAGCTCCATAGAGCTCCATTCATTCTGCACTCATCCTGTGAGCGCCCTCATATGGAACCAGAGTGGAACTGCAACAGCTCAGAAGCCGGAAGTTTAAGAGAGTGGAACTTCTCTCCTTATTAGACATTCTCTGGGTTGCACGCTAACAGGCTTTTAGGCAGCGCAGCCGGAGGACGTCAGAGGAAAACTACCTTTAGATATTTCAACTCAATGCTGTATAATGTGCCACAATAATGTATGGGCTATTCCAAGCAAATATATATGTTTGCAATAAAAATCAACATAGGCAGTATTTCTGCCACCCCTGAAAGTCTCCATGCCACCCTATAAGTATTTCTCTAGATCTGACCCTGCACCCTTCCTGTCCAGTGAAAACCATGTATCTCCAGATTAAGTGATTTTAAAACTGAGGGAGAAAATTCTTCTACTTTATCAATAAACGATTTAAAAAACCTTGGGTTAACTGAATTGTAAAGCTGCAAACAGGGCTGTTTGTCAGAGCTCATGAAAACTTCATCTCACTAACATCGTTCTCACTACAGACATATGATGACCTAGCAGAAAGCGATGCATTGCTGTAGATTAAACTACCCAACACTATATATTGTAGTTAACATTTTCCCATCCTTAAAGCAACATTATGTAATAGCTTCACTATCATGTTGGTGCTATATTAAGTTGTAATAGGGTGAATGATGCCTCTATCCTGTTGACACTATGTAAATTTTGGCTCCAGGTCGGGACCATTGACAGTATACAGTTAGTGTAACTAACTAAGTGTGTAACTTTACCGCAGTAGTCACACACCACCACTATATCACAGATGTTGGTGAAATTGGATAATATTTCGTGCAGTTTTCTGGTTTTCCCTCTGATGTCCTTCGGCTGCCCCGTATAAAAATTTTACCTAGTTTTCTTCTGGACAGTGAAGTAACACGAAATGTAGCTGCTTGTAGCTATAGTTAATTAGCCGTACTTCCCGGGAGGCGATGAGACTTTTAAAGACAACGGAGAGAAAAGCTGAAGGAGAAAAGTGAACATGTCACTGGCTTTTAGTAGTCGTTGGGCTGGTAAGTAATGTTAGCTAGCGTCTGCTGTTTCTTCTGTTGTTGCTCTCTTGATGTTTTGCTGCTTTAGAAAAGTTTTCAACTAGGTAGTTTTTTTGAATCATAAGTAATATAATAATAACAAATGCACATGTACAGCTGTCTGTAAGTGGAGGCGCCCAAAACACACAAATACCAAATCTTACACAATGTTGCTTTAAACATACAGCTGTAATATGCAACACATCAATGCAACAGTAATATTAATCAATATATATTAATATATAAGAGTAAAACACTCAGATGGGCCACTACTACAGAATGAGTACTTTTACTAGTATTAATGGGTTTTTATTTAACACAACAACAAAAAGGGATAACAGCACACAATGACAGTGCTAACATGACATTAAAGTTGGTTTACAGCAAATTAAAAAATCTAAAACTAAAAGAGGGAAAGAAAAACACAAATGAATAGAGGTAGTTATAAAATAACTGCATATAACCTAAATTGGTACAAAGAACTGGTGGTTAGAATTATAGGCAGTGTAGACTAAAAATAAGGAGGGCTCATGTCTGGCTGGTTACACCCCCCAGTATGTAAAGGGCTATAAAGGACAGTTTATACTGTTAGTAGTAGGCAGCTGGATTTTCTCTCTAATGTGGTCTAATAAGGTTTCCAGAGTACTTTTACTCCTGATACTTTAAGTAAATGTTGCTGATATTGCAGGATTTTCATATTGTTACAATGTGCTATGTATTAACCCTATTTTCATAACTACTTTTACCTAAATAATGCGTCTGAATACCTCTTACACTACTGCTTCAGGCCACACAAAATAATGAGGAAGACAAGAATAAACACATTCTGACACTAAATGGTATAAAGATGTGAATAAAATATAACTTTTATTCCACTGTAAAAGCGTGTGCAGATACAGTCAATTTTCTCCAATCACCGGTCCATAACACGTTAAAGTACTTGTACTTCTTTGTTGTAGCCACTAGATGGCGTCAGCAGACAAGTATATTTTAGTGTATGCTTCAAGAAGGAACCTGTGCTAGGCACACAGTAGGTGGTAATATTGTCACTCAAATAACCAGGGAAGTAACAGGACCTTTGGACCAGACAGATAAGACCGACAAAATGCATCACGTCTCTTTTACGTTTGATAGTGACGACACATAATCCACACTCACTTCTTAGTCTCAACCTGACCTTCAGACTAAACAAAAATAAAGGATAAGTGGACATGTTTTGTTATTATTCAACTCAGTCAGTACATATTTAGTCATTCATTAGCATTTTATTAACTGAACATTAAATACAATTTTGACACATTTGTTTATAGTTGTTTGTAGCTGGCATTAGCAAGTTATACTGAAAAGACTTCATAGATTTTGGTGATTAATGAAAAGTAGTTTTTTGTGTTATGTTACAATGAGTAAGAGTATAAAATATCATACAGGGGAGGATAGCATGTTAGAAATTGATCAAATAACCTACCATAAGGTTCCTTTAAAAAAGAAACATTTTAATATCTACAATCTGCTGGTGAAGATCATGTGATGTAATCAAAAGCAGATCAGCTATTAAACCAACCTCATGATATTTGTCTTCTAAACATGTTTTTAAGGTCAACAATGAACTTTGGACCTCATGTATTCTGGTCCTGGTCTAAGTCCTTTGAGATGCACTTTGATACACTACAGAGATGCTGATTAACGTTGTTTAACGTTACACACCTCTGTCATTACATTCGTCTACATTGTTGTGTAGTCGTATTATTGATTTGGTCAGGTGGGACGTTTGGTTTCAGTAATAGTCCTGGTTCATGTGTCTCATCATAAAATAATTCTATGGCGTGTTCCTGTCGTTCTCGTCCTGTCCAGTAGGTGGCATGTGAAGACCTCAACATGATTCATAGAAATTACTAGAACAGCAGAGACAATAGTCAGGCTTGCTGTAGAAGACTTTCAGTGGGTTTTTGTTTTTGGCAAATAAAAGTTTGTCAAAGTTCAGATAAATGGAGGGCAGACGGCAGCTTTTGGCTGATGCGTCATTTTTCATTTCTTGGAGCTAGATACCTGCTATTGCTTAGAGACAGTGTTACTGCCACTGAATCACCTGATGTGGAGAAGATTTATTGCTTTTATCCGGTTGCTGATCTAAAACGAACGTACTGGTGGATATGAGTCCTTCTCGCATGTATCCCTACTATTTTGGTATATGTATTTGCCTCATATTAGCAGTAAGGTATCTACATATAAATCACAAACATGTACGGATGATATGGAGACCTCTGAAGGTCAGAGTTGCTGTTTATGGAAAATGTTCCCCAACCTTTATACCAGCAGGTTTTTTCCCAGGCCTTCCAGTGAGCTGTAGAGATAGAACAAGTGAGGGCTTCTTCTTGTGCTGTCTGCCATCCTGACTATTGTACCTCCAGAGCATTTGCATACTCATGTCCCAAATGATCCTACAGTGTCATATTTGCATATAGCACTGGACAGAATCCACCTCAGTTGAAGGTCTCCCTCTCAATGGCCGCTGGTTTTCTATGCTCTGTCACTGTGTGACGGTGGCAAAGGACGTCACCTTGTATTTATTGAAGTGCAACGCTCTTTGAAGTTACATTTACTTGTTATCACACATAAAAAAATTAAGTGGCGTTTCTTGTTAGTAATAAAGCCCCTAATGGCTCTTAGACCTGGAGCACGATTGGCTGATTGCCTCTGTTGCTAGGCTACGGCTCCATGGTATGCCTCGGCAATACTGACAGTAACATCACATTAAGGAAGAAAATGGAAAAAAGATAGGCACAAGGTAAAATGCTATATAACATCATTTAATAATGGTTCTCTATGGTGTAACCATAAAACATTTACAAAATATTCACAAGGTGATGCAGTCAGTTGACAACACATTTATTTCAATTATATATCTTCAAATAAAAAGTTTATACTCGGAGCGCATGGTTCAAATGCTGCTTTCACTTTGCAGTCTGGAGAGCAATCTATTATTTGTGAGATCATACAGTAATTCAGGACTAACTTCATTTACATATCCAAGAATCTGCAAACTAACAAGGGTTATATACAATATGTACAACAAAACACCTCAACATATAACCCATCAGACATGGTCTAAAATGACCAATAATTTCTCCCTGATTACCGCATACAAATACAATGCAACTTACTCTCATTTCTTAAAAATGTTATACATTTCTCAATCACAAATGGGTGATTTTCATAAAGATTTCCCACATGGTGACATGTTATGAAAATAGCTTATGTCATTTCAATAGGGCATACCCTAACCATCGTCCCAACTGTGTATCAGACATTTCTATTGCTATGTGATATATTGATTTAAGAGGTCTTCTGAATGTATGGAAAGTGCCCTTTACATGTTGTAATATGAATGCAAGAAATCATTGTTGGTGAATGTTTGTACATGTTCCTATTTCTCTGGGCGAGAGTATGTGCTTCCCTCTTGTTAGCTTTTTGAGCTGGGATAGGAGGACAAAGTCTAGCGAGGAACAACAGACTCTTTCTTCTTTTTGGTCTTCAGAACAGAAAACTGGCTTTGACAAACTCCAGGAGGGAGAAGTGATGACTTGGTGGTCTGATGTTGACTCGAAGAACCCAAGGAAGAACACAGTCTATGTTTTGATAGTTTTTTTTTTAAGCAATCGTGGAAACGACTGGAGGAGGAATTGGTTTGGGTTCAGAAGCCTCCACCTCCAGCTGTGCCTACATCCTTCACTGATATTTTTTCGACATAGCACCAGAGTTGGCACAGCTCCCACAACAACTGTCCATCATGCATAGGCCAGTGTACTGTATGTGGCAGGCCAGGCTTGCATGGGGACGCAGGGAGGCTCCCCAAAGCAGATACCTCAGTCAGATTTAGCTCTCTGAACTCAAGGATCTATGCGGAAAGCTAAAAGCTTGTCAGAGTGATGGTTGTTCAGGGTGCGCAGGTCTGGCAGACGTAGCAGCAACTTTGGGAAGAGTGTGCTGTCATCTGGGCGGCGACTGGTGATGAGAGAGCGCAGAGCTTTAATTAGATTCTCCTGCAGCTGCTCCACTGCTCCCACTTCCACTATACCAGATCGATCTAGAGAAAAGGAGGAGAAATTGGGACGTTAGACTCAAGGAAATATGTGCATACAGTATCTGCTTATGTACATGCATGAGTTTGTGCTTGTGTACGTGTATGTTTCAGTGTTGACTCTTACCAGCAGAAACAAGCACAACAGCCATGAAAAGAGCCATCTCGTCTGGCTCCAGACCCAAAGATCCAAGCTTCTCGCTGAATTCGAACATGGCGTCCAGTAAGGAGCCCATGCCGAGAGCCCTCAGTGATGCCAGTGAGTAGGTCTGCCCGTTGAGGAACGTTACTGTCCTCTCCTTGGGGTCAAACAGTGAGCAAAACCTCACCATCAGCACCTGTGAATAGAATCAGACCAGGTCAGCACCAGAAAAGACTCCAAAAGGATAAGAAAGGAAGTAATTAAAAATTTCCACAATCCCACCCACAAATTTAACTGGACGTACCTGGAAAGTGCCAGATTTGAGCAGCATGACCTGATCATGCTGGCTTAGAGTCTGGAAGCCCGGAATGCTCTTTGCGAACTCCACTACTTCTTTAACAGCAGGGGTGAAGCACTGGGAGAAAGACTCCCACACCTCCTGACTGGAGCGACTGGCCGGAGCCACGGGACACGAATTGAGTGGACATGCCTACAGGAGAGACAGAGAGAAGAAATTAAAGGTGTGTTGTGGACTTTTTACGTACATGACATTGATTGGTATTCACATACTCAAGAAGACAAAAAGAAAGTAAAGAGAAAAGTCTTACCAGCACTTTGGCTCCTCCGTTCAGCTTCCAAGGGCAAGGGCTTTGGTTCTGGGAATCCCTGGCTTGGTAACTGTTCTGATTGGAGGAGTAGGACTGAGATGACACGCTGCCACTGAAGGGGCACTGATTCTGATTGGAGGAGTAGGTGTACTTGGCGTTGTCAATGTTAGTATTAGTGGAGTTTTCATTGTTGGTTGAGCCAACAGGGCAGTTTGTGGAGACATGGTAGCTTGTCATGTTCACCTGCTCCCCCTGAACTGTGTGCTGAGTTTGGGTTGCTGAGTGCGACAGGGAAGGTTCCTGTACCGAACTGTTCTGGAAAGACGAAGTGCCAATGTTGCTGTTGCCGGCGGCCATCTTGAGTGGTTTCTCGTCAATCATCAAGTTGCCGCGGTAAGACTGTGATATGGAGCCCGCTCCTTCATTTGTCTGGTTCTGTGGACTGCACGGGGCATCGGGAGGAGGTGACACCTCCATTTCCATGGAAGCTGATTCGTTGAGACTGTTCATGTAGCTCTGCATCTCATCCAATAGTCTCTGCTTCTCCCGTTTGGGAATACGCCCAAAACGCACAGCTGAGGACAACCAGAAGAGAGCATTCTCTGTTAGCATTTACTGGCATCAAGCATCGATTATCACTGCCAGCTCCTTACTGGCAGACTCTGAATTAGTGCATTGAACAGCAAAAACACTCAGTTATTTTCACATTCAAACAATATAGAGAAACGACCACTTCTTGTCCTAATACAGATTTTACATCCGATACTCAAACGGTAATCTCTATGTGGATTACTAATCCCAAGACCTCTCTACAAATCCTGACTATTCTGTGTCCATCACAGCTGTTTCACCACAATACAGACACTTAAGCCCTCATCTCATCTGAAAGCCTCATCCTCCTCTCGAGGCCTTTCCAATCCTCCCTTCCCCCTTTTCAATTCTGCACCTCCACTGACAGGCCTATTTATAGCGCGCTGTATGCTACACCACCTTCCCCCAGTCTCTCTCTGCTTTTCTGTCTTGTAGTTGAGCACTCGCTCTCTCTTCTTCTGTGGAAGTAGGTCACTGGGCCAACAGCGTTGAACATGATGTCATTAGCAAAGTGACAGAGTGAGTGAAAAGTGGAAAGGTCAAAAAGACACGGGAGGCAGGTAGGAGAGGTGAAGAAATGTTTGAAGGTGGAAAAAAATTTGGTTTATCAAAATTTTATTTGCGAGCAGGTATCATGTTGTCAAGCTGAAGCCATGACATGGAAGTGAAAAGTGGCTTTGTGGGTCTATAAATATGAGTTAGAAGCAATAACATTAAAAAAAAAGAATTTTATTTAATTTGTGTGCATGTTCAGGAAATGAGACCATTTCAAATGTGGTTAATAATACCAAAGTTTTACTGTTGTGATCTGATGAATTAGCAGGTGACTTCTTTACTGCCGCATTTTGGCTTTTTTTTGGGTCAGCTAAAAATGTTTGCTCCAGAAAAGCCATGATTTATTATCACCTAGTTTAGCCGAATCCTGAGAGATCAGAGTCCTGCGGTGAAATAATGCAGTAGAGCAGATTAAATGTGTTAATATTATTTTAATTTAAAGTCAGGCACTGTAGGTATTTATTATTAATAGGACAGCATAACATTATGTCTCGTGTGAATGTTTGTAAATGTCAGCGTTGAAAAAATAAATAGGTAAGACTGTACATCTTCGTGAACACTCTTGGTAATCAACAACTTTGTGCCCCAGTTTCCCAAAATAAACAATATTTGTCACAGTTCCTCCATGACTGATGACTACTGGGACTCTAGAGCTCCTCTTGCCATAAATCAGACAGCAGGGCCAGGGAGAGAGGAAGACAGAGGGGAACAAAAGACAAAAGGAGGGGAATGAGAGAGAAGAAGATGAAAAGAAAATGAAATTCTGTCACAAGGAGTGAGACCTGCTTGAGAACAATTTTTCTCCATCTGACTCTCCATGTGACCCTGCATACATGTGATCAATGAAATCCTCTCCTCTACACTAGTTAAACCAATATATTTCAGTTTTAGTTGCCATATGTCTAAATATCTTTTTTAAGGACATTAACAGTCTCTCACCATCTCTGGACATGCCCACGGAGAGACACTTCTTAAAGCGGCAGTGCTGGCACCGGTTTCGGTTCATGCGCATGATGAGACACTTTTCATTCTTTACACACATCTTGTAGTGGATATTCTGCTGAATGCTGCGTCTGAAGAACCCCTGGAGAGAGAAAAGAAGAATAAAGAGTTAGAAGAGTGCTTTTTTGTGCCAATGTGTGTGCTTGTATCTACAAAGACATGACATAATGCTATCTTTGTTGGGGCTCACCTTGCAGCCTTCACAGGCGTGTACGCCATAATGGAACCCAGATGCGATGTCCCCACACACCTTACACAGAAGCACCATACCTCCGGTTTCTATAAAAGAGGCACACATCCATCATCAGAGAGAGAAATACAATGACAAAGTGCTGGCTGGTTAACGTAGAGGAAAACAGGAAGGAGGGAAGTGAGTAGGTACTTACTGGTGAATGTGCCAGTGAAACCACAAGGTCTTTTGGCCACTGTGGGATGGTTGTAGGTTGCCGATGATACCGTTGTTATTTGGGCAACGGGAGCATTGTTTACTTCAGGAAACTGGAAGACCATTCGCGGGGAAGGAGTCCCTCCCCCTTGTTCCCCTCTCTGCTTCAGGGGCCCAATCTCCTGAAAGGAGACACCCTCTGGGGATGAAGGCTGCGAGTGGGAGGAGGGCGACTGGGTCTGGTATCCACTTGAAGGACTGCCAGGACTCGGACTGGCACTGCCGGACGAGCCAGCGTACAAGATAACACCACCTGGAGGAACAGAGAGTGGCAAAAAACTCAGTTCACTGATCTTCATCTAGGTCGGTGTTCACATGTACAATGTGAGTGGGAGTGCAAGTATTGAGCAATGCTCTACTTTGATTCAGTGAGCTTACTTGGCAAATGTCCAAAAACACACATAAAAAACCCTGATCATGTTGGGACAACAGAAATTTGATCTGATGAATAATTTACAAAATATGTCAAAGCTAGAACAACCACAACAACTCTGACCTGGATATCTGTAGAGAGTCTTTCGGTTTCTATTCTTTAGATAATCAAACTGAAAAAAAGGCGTTTTGCTTTTACCGAAAAGTGATACTACCTTGGAAGCCTTTGGAGAGTGTTATGTGAATAAATAATGCTAAATACACAATGACCAGATAAGATAAATACCATTATCTGTTGGTTAAACTAACACCCACACATGGGTTATTTAGCCATAAATAAATACAATACATACAATGTATGAGCAAAGGGTACTTCAGGGTATTATACAAACGTCACATAAACACCATAAAATGCTTATCATAAGTTAATATACATTCATAAACAGGCTATAAACAGGCCTTTGTTTAGGGACGTCACATCAAGTCGGAAATGCCCTATTACCCCTCAGCACAGCACCCACCCGCCCCCCTTGTTTTGCAGACAGTGTTCTTCCCTGCAAGATGAAAGACTGCCCCTCACGTGCAGGCTGAGCCAGCCAGCTCCCTGCCTGCTTGCTTTCAGCATTGAGTCTTTCCTCCACTCCCTCCCTCCGCCCCCTCCCTTCTTCTCTATCCTCCTCCCCTCCTACCTCCTCTCTCGCTCCCTCCCTCCCTCCCTCCCCGTTTTGGCTGCGGGCCTGCAGACCCATCTATCCGCCAGCCACCTGACCGGGAGCTCACATGGACTCTTGACACAGTTCCCGCCCGGCTCACAAGGCTCTTTGCGCAGTCCCGTGTAGACAACAGCAGCAGTACAATAACAAGCGCTAGGGCTGATCACGTTTGGAATAGAGAAGGCTTTAATGCTGTCACTACAGACGTAGGGCTTAAAGCTTTGCATTCCACTAGAAACTGTACAGTCACGTTGTTGCCGGTCTCTCTTTTGACACATTAAAATAATTTGCTGGAGGGTTTTAGTTAATTAAAGTGAGCATTTTATTATGCTTTTATATCACTGGTATTTAAGGATGGTGAAATTCAAACCCACTAAAACTCTTTTACCCACTTTTATGGCTGACATAATTCCTCTAATTTCTAATATCATGATGATAAATAATAATAAAAGTGATGAGAACCAAATCTCTATTATTGCAGACATTCATGATTTCAAGAATTTATGTATGTCTGCTCCTTTTAGTAGTCCCCTTAATGATCCTCATCTTCAGTTCAGAGTTTGACCTGCTTTATTTGATATTAGATCACTGTGTCAGGTGTCTAAATATCTTAAAAGCCTGCCAACTGAAATGTTTCCCATGTGCAGAAATAGCATGCTTCCCATTCTTCATTCACAATCTGCGTCACTTGGCTCCTATCGTGGTGATCATGATCGTGGGTCATTATCAGACAGATTAAACAACACAGATCTGTAACACAGCTTTCATCAGATGTGTGCCCTTCTGCACAACAGGTCAAGTTAAGAGACGTGACTAACTGTCACGGCAGTGTTTTCTCAAGTATTAACAAAACCCTTGGATTGTCTTGTGTTTCCTCTGAAGGACCTTGAATCATCTGAGAAAAAGCCCTAGTCTCTTGTGCTTTCTCTCCTTGAGAAAACACGTGCTGTGTTTCTGTTTAGCTCTAAGTGCCTCCTTAATTCCACTGCTCACACGTGTCAACACTGAATGCAAGGTACCCTGGTGGCCTGACCGCTTGTGTGTAGTGGCAGGTCTGGTATCAGACTGTGACTTTATGTGCCTGTGCATGTTTCCTGTTTGTTTGTGTGAGAAAGATAAAGCTTTATGGACGTGTATCACCTGCAAAGGACAGGGTTACACCCTTCTGTCACACAAACTCCACACCCACTTTAAACATTCACAATCTCCACCCGCTCAGAGTAAAAACATTTTATTTTCTTTCTCCCTGTAACCATTTCCTGGAATCTGGTTTGACTGGATGCCAGAACGAGCTCTGGGAATATCATCCCTGCTGTACTCAGGCACAAGCTAAAACATGTGACCTGTGTATACACACAGAGCCATAAGAACGACAGAATAAACAAAACGCTCCACCACCCTCTCCTTTTGCCATTCCTCCATGACCTCCCCTCTCATGTAGTCCCACCCCCTGGGCATGCACGCATGCATGCATGGCAGGCAAACTGTATAGGCATCATGCTCATGTCATGTCCGGGGGAGGGAAGGGGGGTGGGGGGGAGACGCCTCCCCCCTCTTAACTCCAACTAGTGTGTCCACTTACATGTGAACATTCACAACTGTGCATGGGCAGTAAGCCTCGCTCCACGTGAAACAGCTGGCCTCATGTCATGTGTCTATGAAGCACTATGAAGGAGGATGGTTCTATAAAGGCACGAGGGCAAAATTTGCTTTATGTGACATGAACCTAGAGTGATTTTTTTTATTGTTGGATAAAGAAACAATGATTGCATTGCATGCTGTTTCCGTTTGAACTTGTGTTTAAGGAGGTCTGTAGTTCAAAAGTTTAAAGACACATGTAGGTCTTACGTAACAGACTAGAAGAAGAAGGTTGTATACTCACTCCATGAGAAATACTATCTGTCACCCGAATCAAGCTTGGCTTTTAATGTGAATTAGCTAGTTGCGTGATCGTCTGTCAAGCTGACAGCTACAAGGAATCTGGTTTCATGACTGGCACCATAGCTTAGCATTAAGTTCATTGTCCCTGTTAACAAGTATGACACCTGTGAGGCATCCATCTTCAATTATGGAATGAAAGGAATGAAAACGCAGTCTTGGGATGACGTGTCTTTTTTATCATTAAAGGCCACAATGGTCATAATAATAAATAATGGTGCTTTTCGGTTACAAGGTCAGTTCTCCTGAACATCAGACATTACGTGTGTTCATTGGACAGTCATGGTCGTCCCTTGACAATCTTTCAAAAACTACGCTATAGTCACGTTACCACAAGGTCACGCCCATCATCCCTTTTGCAGACACAGACCTATACTTTTATATACTTATTATACTTCATGGTGATTACAGTTTAATCTTGAACCTATAAAGTTGGAGGGAGAGCCTACTTTTGCCTGAATACCTTGCAATATCCCAAAGTGGATTCATATTGATTTTACTCACTGACTGATGATTCCAGTATGTAGTGGTGACTTTTTAATGCATTTATCTTTTATTTGACTGTTATAAAACTGAACAGAAAAGAGACAACAATTAGGGCCTATTCTATAAATCATGTCACATGAGGACTACTAGCAGTCTACAAAATCATTAAAACAGCCTAATCATAATATTCCACATTAATACTTAATGTGAATTAAGACAGGAAACACAATGATCCACAGCTCCATCTATGATCAACTGAATTGTGTATGTTGTCAACTTTTACCAACCAGAAGGCGTATTTTGTGAATACTGCTATTGCTCAACACCCGCACGATAATGCTTCATTAAGGGCATTGAAAGGTGTTGCAACTACACCACCACTGACATAAATGATGGTGCGTATGCACGGTAAAAACAGGAACTGGTTCGCCATGTCACCTCAAACCCAGGTTGAATGTAGGTTAATATGTCATTTCAGACACCAAACACTCATATGACACTCCGCAATCACTATTCAACATTTCAAACCAGTTATAGTAACAAGGGCGAAGGAAAGGGCTACTAAACCTCTCTGACCCACTGACCAAGCTATCAGAGAATAAGGAGGAATCCCCGTGCGAGCTGAGCGCGAGCAGAGTGCGCGCGGTGGAGAGGAGCGACCGGAGAGAGGCGGGGTGCTTGGGAATCAAGCGCGGCACGTGGATACTGGTGCTGAATACACGTGCTGTCAGCTCGAGGCGGGGTAACTGCGTATTAAAAATCAGGCGCATGATTCCCAACATTATCACGACTGTTTCTACCCAGGGTGCACCGGGCTTAGAGCGGATGAGAAGAAATGACAGTCATAATGGTCACCCGCTGTTCAAGGACGTTATAATAATGTCTGCCTGCTGTCCAACCTGTTATAACTGGTTCGTTAATACACTTTATCTCGCGGTACATGTCCACTTTAAAGCCTGCTATCACCCTACTCATTGTAGAATCGACCTGTATTTTAGTGCTCATATATTTCTATTCACATTTTATCGGCGGTTCAGTCTGTAGAAGTTCCACAATAGGATAAAATACTGCCTGACAAATCCCATTACAATACTTAATCTATTAAAAAGGGCCACTGAGTTACCGGGAAATGGTTCAAATCTGAAATCGACTGGTTTTTATTAGCTGTAATGTGCGCTCGGTTCATTCATCATCAGCCCCCCCCCCAAACACATTTAGATCATGATTCAGGTCCTAGCAGATCTGGATGTTTACTCCCAGATCTGCTATGAAAAATTCGGCACAGGTTTACTTGTTTTGACTCATCGGGGTTGACTGCTCCTTGACATAGCCCACTCACATGTGTTTGGGGGGGGGGGGATCACAAACCAGTCAAGTTAATGACTCACACGTTGCAACAAAGTAGTAGTTCTCATAAATGCGTCAGTCGGAACTTGTTCGAGGAGTTATGAGCTTCATCCAAACTAAAGCACCCAGCTGCGGAAGTGTGTGTGTGTGTGTGTGTGTGTGTGAGATTCACTTTATCTGACAATAACATGAGAATAAAGACAATAATGTTCAGATAAGCGAGATGGGCGGCGACAGAGAACGTGCCCGGTCAGGGTCGTTTTGGGTCGCGCTTCACGTGAGTTTGTTTACATGCAGGGAATCGGAAGTCCGCCGCAAAGACTGACGAGAGAGGACTTCCCTCTCCGTCCTCGGCTCTCTCAAAACTCAACTGTCTACAGCCCAGAAGCACCTGGCAACGTGCCACATGTTACACAGCCGAAACAGTTAAAAACGTGTAACATTCACACTGAAACTAAAGTGTAGTATCCCCGAGGGAGTGACTGGAAGTGAGAGTCCCCAAAGCTGCACATTGGGTCTAAAAATACAGCAAAACTGTTTAGCTGATAAATGTGATCTTGTCTACTGTTAGCTGCATTAAACACCGCTTTAAAATAACATACAGTGAACAGGATAAAAAACAAATGAATCAATGCATACCCGCTTTGTCTATAATAAACATATGTATGCATATAAAATGGACAGAGCTAAGAAATCCTCCTCAGAATTAAGCTTTAACACTTCTAAGAATAAGACTTAATATGTAGGCTAGTAGAGTATGAAGCTTAACTTACCACCAGGGCTGTTGTCCATGTTTCCCAGTAGATCGAAGTTGCTGTTCAGTTGTTCCGTGTTGTTTAATATCGGACGTTTAATGCTGGACTGACTGCCTTTGCTTGCTGCCGAGGAGTTTGGTTGATATAGGTGAAAGAGTCATTAACTGCCAAGGCATAGAGAGTGTATCCAAAAGCTCAGACCAACAGCACTGTGCGCAGGGCATTGATGGGGGGTTCTCGAGGAAACCCAGTCAGCGAAGAGAAACAAGTTAAAAAGAAATATTCTTTAAAAAGAAATTAAAAGAGTATCTCTCTATCTCTCTCTATGTCGTTGATCCAGATAACTTCCAGTGGATGCACAGGTTGAGTCGGCTCTCCGTCTGCGCACACTAAGATGCTAGACTGTGGTGAGACAGTACTGTATAGGGCTTCTCTAAATTACAGAGTTCCCAAAGCATTCAGCTGCTTGCCATGTACAGTCACCGTTAAAACATGACCAGAGTGTGGAAGTAGTTTAAACACTCCCCCACTCATCAATAAGCAACACGGGTCCTAAAATAACCAGCACGTTTTCAGGTGCCTGAGAAATGTGACCAGTTTTTTTCCCTCTCTCTCTCTCTCTCTCTCTCTCTCTCTCTCTCTGTTCTCTTTTTGTGTGTCCCGTCAACCGCCTGTTTGCTGATGTGTATCAGTGATGTCTCTCTCTTTCTCTCTCTCTCTCTCTCTCTCTCTCTCTCTCTCTGTGTGTCACGCTCTCTGAAAACATTTCACCCACCTCCTCTGCTCATGCCCCCACTCTTTACTCTTTCTCACTCTTTCATTGGCCGAGAGCCGCGCGTGGAGACGGCACATTGGGCTCGTTCGACATTGGAATGCTGGTTAAAGCTCTACAGCATGTGCGCATGGCATGTGAGCTCACGCTGCCCTACTGACACACATTTTATGCTAATGAGCCGCCTGGGCTCGGCGATAAGGAAACGAGGAAACGAGGGGGGAGAGAGAGGGGCAGGAGGAAGTGGGAGGTCTCACTCCTGCCTCGTCTCCCGTCGTCTTCTCTTTACAGGCGAAGGGCCGAGGCTTTGCCTTTGTGCTAGAAGGCACGTTGTACAAGCACCGCAGAGGTGATAAGTCCATTTCTCTTTTAAAAAAAATGTCAATGGGAATGATCCGTGGTGGGAGCTTTTAGATTGTAGGCACGTGTAATGTAGGCCAAACAAAAGCCACTAGTCACTCGGTTTTATAGCCTATGTTTTATTTTTATTTTTTTAACCAAGAAATTCCTTTTATTAATGTGTCTACTTATCCTATCACACCACATTTGTCTGCTGCTTTAACATTTACATTTTCCTTTTCATTTAGGCCTTTCACTTAGGAATATAACATGCAGGTATTTGTCATAATAATATTATAATAATATAGTTAGTACATATAGTAAGATTGCTTAGTTGTTTTTATTTTATATTAAAATAAAATAATTAGTGCATCATTTAAGATAGGAGAGGATAAGATCGAGCTTCAAGGAGACCCATTCAGCATTACAACCACACAAGAAGCAGGTCAGAGGGAGGTGGGAACATGATAAACTAAAGTTGTAACTAAGTTGAAAAAATATGAACAAATAACAGATGAATCAAAGTTAGACAGCCATATACAATGCATTATCCTAAGCCAGTTTACACTAATGAAATGTAGGCTTATAATTGAAGGGTGGAAAGACACTTTGACACTTTGACCTCAAATTGTAGTGTTTTTTTATTTTGTTTTGTTTTTTTCTTTTCTTCCTTTTTAGTATAATTATTTTATATCTGGAACACTTTTTATATGTTCTGTTCTTAGTTTATCTTCCAAATGAGAACATACAAGACGAAGAAAGTGAGAAAACTAGACATTACCCTACAATGTGAGGCAACTGTGTCAAACGCCTGTCCACGTGCCTTCCCTGTGCACCAACGCTGCGAGAGCAGAGCGCATGCGCGACGGCTAACGCCCACGTTCTCAAACCGGAAACTGGTGCAGCCTTTGAGTACCGAGCGGCTGTCTTTTTCCAACATAGACGATCTTTGTCTGAAAGAGCTGGCACGTGGGGACAGGGCGGTGCTCACCGTGACTCCCATCGTCCCTCCTCCTCTCCATCACGTTTCCTTTTCTCTCTCCACAGATTGTGTTTGCTAAAAGCCAAAATAACGCCGGAGATTGGCTGGGACAGAGTACATGTAGGTCAGGAGCTGCTTGTGCAAACATGAGCATCGTAAAATGTGCCCAAAACCGCGGCGTCCTCACAAAAAGCACTCAAAAGACCGCCTGTTGTGGGCAGGCACATCGAGGACTGAATGTAGGTCACGTAGCTCACTCCGGGGGGTTGGATGGGATGTTATTATTCACAACATTTCACTTATTCTCGATAGGTGAGCTGAATGGAAAAAGTCTTCACTGCAGCCTTCAACTTGTAGGGAATTAGGCCATGAGGTCACAGTGTGTTTGATCTAAAACTCATCACCTGCTCTGGGTTTCTGTGTCATCTGCTAGTATCTGTTTCATTGGACCTTTTGCTAAGTTTTTTTTTACATTTTCATTGAAACATTTCTCTATATTTGGACTCTCTATTAGGCTATTAGATTATTATACAGTCCACAATATATTTCCTAACCAGCAAGAGAAATTAAAATCTTTGTATTTCAGTGGACAGCCATGTTAACAACTACAGTGAAGGTTTTTATCATGGTAAAAATGTATAAGTAATCACAGAGGACCCACAGTGTTGGCTTTATCACCATGGATGTATTGTACCCAAGTCTCCAAAAAGATACTGCAGTCAAAGGCTGGATTACAAAGCTTCTGAAAGGGATACGATTGCACCAGAGGCCATTGTGAAATGGCACAACACTCCCTAGCACGCAGCGTTGAAGAGATGGTGCAAACATCGTCAACCTCTGATTAATGCTAGTCACAGGCACTCACATATGCATTACATCAAGCAGAGCTGACAACTAAAAGGTACATTGGCTGTACACAATATGATGGTGAATGATAGGCCAATGAGATTATGAGACTAAGCTGACATTCACGCCAGATATTTGGGTGAGCTGTTTCTAAAAGACAAACAGGAGCAGTGCAGCACATGGGGACATCAGTCTGGAATATATTTAGTGAGATCTCTGCAGATGACTGGCCTTGTTTTGTCATGTCTAAAATAATTTCAGATTAGGGTTCTTCCAAAGACATTTTAACCTGGGCTGAAGCAACACGTTGGTGATTTTATTTTTTGTTTTACAAGATAGAAAATTAAAATCAAACCATTTTAAAACTTTTACTCATCCCCTTTTGAATAGAAAAACATCTTGTATTTCAATTTTACAAAGAAAATTGTTAGCAATACCCAGACTCTGCACAAATAGTGTAGGCTTTCTAATGAGTGAAATTAAGGCCAAGAATTCAGTTTAGCATCAGCTTTCCAACATCCAGCATTCCCACGTGCAGTTTCTAGTCTAGTTCTTGGGTGTGAATCTTGGAAGCTGGAATGCTTTAATGAATTAATAAATAAATTGATTGATACATCTGAAGACCCCCCTGTAAGCCATACATGAGGCCCTGGACCCCTCTTTACACTCAAAACATTATTTTATTATTTTGAACCTAAAACACCTACAGTAGATGTATAAAGTAATTAGACAGCACCTCCCTGTGGTTAACATGAACTGTGCAGTTCACTTTTGGTGGGTTAAACCGGTGGTGGGTTAGACCAGGGGGCAACAAACTGATTTATGCAGAGGTAGCACGAAGAAAATGTCTCAGCTTTGTAAAATGTATGCAATTCCAACACTATTCAGGGACCCCAGAATGCAGAAATATTCAAATATACTGGACAAAAATATCATATTTATAACACATGCAAAAAAACGTGTTTTTTGCCACACAGCTGCATGGGATTAGCATAAAGTAGGCATGTATACAAAGGGGAGACTTGTGGGTAACCATAACATGTATTTTTATTCAGATATCTTAAGGTCAGAGGTCAAGAGTTCCCTTTGAAAATATCAATGTCAGTTTTTCTGTTGCCAAAATTTAGCCTAACTTTGGAGCGTTATTTAGTCCCCTTTCCAACATGTTAGCTTGGCATGGTTGGTAACGGATGCATCTAGTTTCAGGTGATACCAGTATTTTTACTCTGAGCTTCAAAATGCATCCTGCTGCAGCCTCTGAAAGACTGGAAGAGGTAAAGATAATGGGGTGGCCAATCAGATTTCAGGGGTGGCAGTGCCACCCCAGGACCCCTCTCTGGAGACACCCCTGCACTCAGGAAATATTTAATAACAAAATAATTTTTAGAATGAATTAAAATAGAATTTTAAAAAAATGAGGTAATGGAACTAAACAGTGCGTAAAAAGTAATAATATAGCAGTAAATTAAAAGTAAATTTTTAACTGTTTGTATACTGCATATTGTACGGCTGTCACAAAATCCCACGGCACACCTGGACTTGACTCACGGCATAACAGTGTGCCACGGCACATTGTTTAGGGACCACTGACTAAGAGAGATGTGTCTATTGTTGTTGGCGTTGTACCCAACAAAGAATCAGGTCATCTGGAAATGAAGGGTTATTTGGGGCATGTAGTCGGTGCTGTTAACTTTAGACACTGTATTGTAGCATATAATGAAAATGTGTCAAAGCTGTTCATGAAAAATAGCTGTGTTTGTTTATTTATTTATTTATATATTTATATAAAAGTATGCTTGTTTGGCAGAAGTATAGTTCATCTGTTGAGGTTTAGGGGTCACATCATTATGCCATCATCTTTACTTTCAAATATTTGGCTATAATAATGCCAGAACAAGAGACATCCACTTCTTCCTGATCCCAGTCAGTTATGGTTCTAAAATGCAGGACTATTTATCTTCCACAAGGTGGCAGTGCTTGTATAGGCAATGGTTTGTGAGAATTGGGCATAGTTTCAGTTTTAAGTTTCCCAAGTCTTCACAAAGTATATATATATATATAAGGTCTTATTACTGGTCTTAATGTTCCAAGTGACACCTGGGACAATGAGTACAGCTCCGCCTAGCATCCATCACCTTACAACTCCCCCATGACATACTCAATATGGACGGTTACACTAAAAGCATATTCAGTTTCTGGTGTAGTGTACTATTTATTTAGTGGAAATGTAATATCGACAGCTTTCTTTATCACAGACTTCACCAGTAAAGTTTTAAAGAGCCAGTGTCTTTGTCAGTTTTGACTCCGTAGAGATGCTGCAGTGCCATCTCCTGGTTGATGGCTACTGGTTAGATGGTTATTTATCTTCTGTATGGATCTGGCCCAGTTTTACAACGTTACTCATACCAAACAGCCTCAAATTTGAAGAGGCAAACCCATTCCTCTGCATTTGCACAGTTTTTTTTAGTTCTCTTGTGAACTAAAATCAGTACAGAGGCAGTATATGCAAAGCCCAGGTTTAGATCCAAAGCCTCTTCAGAGTACCGTCATAACCACTAAGAGATATATACAGCAGACTAAAATAGTGACAGGAATTGCAAACAATAATACAATTCAACATTGGTAATATGCATGCAAATGTACTTTAAAAAGTGATGTTTACCCTTCTGTTACTTTCCAGATGAAATGCAGAAACCGCTCTACTGGCCCACAGAGCCCCATGTTGTGGCTGAAGAGGTATTGCAGCTTTCTCCATTTTGCCAGTTACCATGGTGATGAGAACCATCAGGCCTGCGGTTTTGTTTTGTTTTCCCTACCACAAGAGGTGAGTTTCACTGATAACCAAATGCAACAGTAATGTGAGGCATGCGTCTAATGGCCGACATTAGAATCACAGCTGGTAATAAGAAAAGTGAACCAATTT